TCAGTCAATTACATTAAGATTAAGGTGATATAATTTTTTTAGAACACTTTCAGCCTTTGCATTACTAAAATGCACAAAGCCGAGCATATAAAACCACACTCAAAAAGAAAAAAAATGACATAGAGCGTTGAGAATAAAGAAATTCTTGGAGCTATCATTTTCCTCTAGCATTAATAAAATTCATTGGTGTTAAGAAAAAACTTCTTGTGGGAAGGTTGGCTAGAGATTTCTTAGAAAAAGACCAGCCCCTGCAAAGGCAACAGTCTAGAACGAGGAATGAGTGGAGGCGAGCCCGGATCCAGAGATAGATGGATGAATGGTGTCGATTCAAGGGTTTTTTCTATTAATTGAGAATTAAAATGTAACTAAATAGTCGAGTGCTATTGAGGGCCATCAATTCAAAGACTAAATCGTCACCCATGAACAACTCCTTGGCCCCCTCCTTCAAAAGGTCGGAGTATTAAGAGCCACCAATCCTTACGACTAGATCGTCATTCATATCCCTAGGTAAAAAACTACTTGACCACCTTCTCCAAATGTAGACATGCCGCAACCACATCCAAACACACCGCAGTCACTAGATCCGCTGCATATGGTAGGTGTTAGTGTGTCTTCGGTGCATTTTTTTTTAAAAAAAAAAGAGAGGAAAAGAACACAAACTGTGGGGAAATATGTTGCGTCAAATGATTTTTTTTCTTCTAAGTTCAAACATGCAAAGAAAGATCAACAATATCAAGAAACTGAAATTGCCCTCAAAACTCGTGAAACATTGCTAGCCCCACATCCACACGAGCTAAACGCTTCGCTTGCCTTTAGGAACAAAGCGGAATCTTAGGTTGGATCTCTCGGTCTGTTCAAGGGGCTACACTGTAACCATCTATCCATCCATGAACCCCCGACAAGCAATCACGCAGAAGTTCAGTGTCCGGGCAAGATTTTATCACCCTGCCCCACAAAACATTCTTTCTCCTCTTCTTGTCATGGCAATGCACACCTTTTCTCGAGAAATTCATCTCCCTTTCCCTCTTGTCGCCGTCGTCAGATGAGCTGAAATTCAGAGCTTTTTTTCAGGGGAAATTTCAGAGTTCGTTCAGAGTAAATTGCTGGTGGCTGGATATGTAATGTGTTGTGACGACGCACTATGACTATGCTGTTTAAAAATGAGAATCGTGGACTATATAATGGCGAATAATTAGAGGTTTGATTGTGAGCTTCCAGCTCGGAAGGCAACTGACAACTTATTAAAGAATTTCCTTTTGGGAGGAACTAACTTGTTAAACCAAAGACATCTCAAGCAGCAGCAGTATTAAACTATTAGTTAAGAACTGTGGATAAGTTAGCTGCACATTCCAAGGTAGTCCTTAATCCAAGGGTTGAGGTCCCATGTAGTCGTGCACAGGCTCTAATAACTGAATCACACTTTCTGAAGAAAGACGATTACCATACTTGTACAACTTGTACTAAAAGGTGTAGTTCTACAGGTAATTATAAGGGCAAGTTTTATAGTAGAGGTGACTACCACATCCAATTTCATGCATAACATATATCATTAAATTAAGAGGTAACATGTATTATAGGTTACCTCTATCATACAATCCCCAATATCTCTAACACTCTCACATGTTTATTGAAGTTTGTGTAGGGGTTGCCCCTTGTATGAGAGGTAACTATTTCTCTCTCATATTTCTTCTCTCCTCCACCTCATTATTTACTCCTATGTGGCATCTTGGGGCTTATGCTTAGATGCCCATAGTACTTGCCCTAAGGGCAAGTTTTATAAAAGAGGTGGATGTTGCATCTAATCTTGACCACATCATCAACTAATAAATGTAGAGGTAACATGTACAATATATCACATCTATACTAATTCTAATACACTAGCCCCAATGTTTGTTTGCCCAATCTACTCTTATCCTCTCTCCTTTTGTCTTGAATTTTGTCTGGTGGTTGCCTCTTGCATGAGAGGTGGCTGCTTATCTCTCTCATCTCTTCTCTCCTCCACCTCACTATTTTAGCTTATATGGCATTTAGAAGATTGTACTTGGATACCTATAGTACTTGTCCTAACCATTGTTCTTTTGGCGTACTGTGTAGTATTCAGTATTATGAATTTGCCAACTTTTGTCTCCTGGAGAGCAGAATCGTCAGCCTTTTCACTTCATGAGCACCAGATTAGGGTAATCAAGACACCAGGTTAGTACTAGTATTATAATACCTGCATGTAGAGGATGATTTGTAATTGTGTTAGTACAAATGGACATTAGAATTTTAAGGGTACAAAGTGAATGTTTGTGAAGGACATCATGAGTGAAACTTGATGGGAATACTGGAATATTTCCACTCTTTGTATGTGAAATCCTGAGGCAGGATTGGACATCGGGCTATGACGTTCCCTGCATGTGCAGAATTCCACTTCTGAAAAAGAGATACTCCAGTAAAAGTCATGAGATTAATCAGTGGCTACTGCCACTAGCTTAGCTTAGCAGCGCTTTTGTCTTTAAGCTGTGGCTAGGCTATGACGCGAGGCCTAACCCTGATTAGAGGTTCGGACACTAACACGGTCGGCCATGATAATCTGTTCCGAGCCTCTGTGATTTCTGTATCCTGAAGCATCACTTCCTTTTGTTTCAATCGGTTCATTTGCAGATGTAGGTAGTTTCAGTCTCGTTGCAGAACCTTTCCCCCTCGGATGAACATACAAAAGCCTATAATGCGTCCTCGGAGACCTAAGCTTACAAAAAATTGCAAGTTGCATACTGCCCGCTGCCCTCATATATGCGAATATGCGATAGATTGTCCAATTGAAAAGACATTTTTTTTCGAAGATACATTGGAGATTTGGAGATAGGCGCATAGCTTAATTAGCATGGAGCCAAAGAAATTTTCAGAGCCTGGGCAAGTTGTCATTCATTGTACATAGATGCATCGTACCAAGATTTTGAATACATGTTTCACTGAAAATTCCGGTGTTGCAAAGTGAATGTAGCTATTCTCAACTGTGTAGATTTTTTTAGTGGGATCTGTCCATCCGGATTCAACTCCTACATTTAGCATAAACACGTAGGGATAGTATGTATGCATACCTTATGAGGGTGTGCACAGTGTGCATGTGAGTGCAAAAGAATATTGCCGCTTTTTTCTTAGCACTACGTCATTGATACTAAGGGCTCATTCTAAACTACGGTTTGGATAAGCTAATACCTTGATTTCGTTAGCAAGTTTTTCAAACTAATAAACAACATGTTTCGTGTGAAAACTTCCTATATAGAAATTACTTTTAAAATAATCAAATAAATTCATTTTGCAAATTTTTAATAATTAGTATTCAATAAATCATATACTAATGCTCCTCGCTTTACATGCAACTAATAATCAAAAACCAACTCCTCAAAGGTTTCGTGGTGTTCTTTTCTCCTGATGAAGATAAGATAAAGTGTTTTACATAAAACAAGGTTGTATTAACATATGATTAATTGAGTTTTAATTATTACAAATTAAAAAAATAGATTAATCTGATATTTTAAAGCAACTTTCATATATAAAATTTTTCCACGAAACGTACCGTTTAGCAGCTTAAAAAATATGCCACTGAGTATCCAAATTTTCATCCACTTTTTTCAAAACCGGTTACCGACGGCCGACGGGGTTACCATGCTGTCTCACAAAGGCGTGAGCTAACTAACTTCTTTGTCAATCCGACAACCGCGCATGCGCGGCCGGCTCATCCATTCCCCAGCTCACCGCCGTCCCCACCCCTCCCGTTCCGTTCCTAAACACAACACAACACCACGGTGGCCCCCCACCACGGCCGGCCGAAAAACCAGCTCGCCGCCGCCGCCCGGCCAGCCGGAGTGGCGTGCAAGCGACGGCTTTCCCCTCTCCGCCGCAGCAAAATCCTGGCCGTAACAGCAGTAGTGCAGTACAGTGCACACTCCAGTATGGCCCAAACAGCAACCTGGGCCTCCTCATGACGTCTACTCTCTCTGTCCCATAATATAGCAGCCTAGTACTGGATGTGACATTTTATAGTACAATGAATCTAGACATCCTCCTGTCCAGATTCATTATACTATGAAATATCCCATCCGATACTAGGTTGCTATATTATGGGACGGAGGGAGTATTCATTTGATTGGGCCATGCTCCTGGGTAGACCTGGTCCACCGCCCTGGTCCATGAACCATGATGCTTTTGCACAGCCAACAAGAGAATAAAGTTTTTTTTTTTTTTAGATCAGCAGGAGAATAAAGTTGGCATGGATGAAGGGAAAGAAGTAGTAAAAGAAGAGGAAAGGCAGAAGGAAAAGGGAAAGGATAGTTCCACTCTTAAAAACCCTAATGATGAGGAATAAGTGGGCTTATGAGATAAACAAATGGCTAAGGCCACTTTCAGTTGTGTGACTTGTGTCTTAGCTTTGGGACAAAAGAAAATTAGAGAGAGAAATGTTTTGGTCCCACGTTGTTGAGAGTATTTAATTAGTGATGGAGGACCATGGTTTGGAATATATAGTTGCAAAACATTGGTTGTAATGAAAGAGATCTCACTTAGTACAGGCCTTTGTGATCTGCCAAAAATATTTTTCAGATGTCATTTGCGAATTTGGTACTATGTTTAATTTTTTTGCAGAGTGGCCGCGCTGATAATCATTGGTTATGCTTAGTGAGTTCGGATGATGATAAAGAAGGTTTAAACAAAGACAAAATAATATAGCATTACATTTTCATAACAAGGACAATCATGATTCGGAAATGGGAATCTACTAATTAAAGGTTCCATCCGTTAGGTTTGGTACATCAAAATCTCTGTAGTTTATTGCAGGTTATCTTCAAGTGAGTAAACCTTCAGTCTTCTTGCTCCCAATTAAAAGAAGATGCAGAAAAAGGCGATATATGTATCTTACCATCTGGTTTACTTCGCTATCACTTGTTCATAGTTTAGGACAAATACGACCAAGTACTAATTTGGTTATCTTTTCTTTTTTTTGAAAGAACTCAGCAAGCTGGTTTTATATTATAGAAGAAGTGAGAGAAACTGTACAGAACAGAAGGCAGGGGAGACGTTCCCGGAGGAATTCTTCCTGCCTGCACTCCCTAAAAAACAAAAGCCTAATCTCTTAATATAATACACTTCACTCCCTTGGCACCTGCCATTTCCCACAAACGAAGCTCATCTATGATCTTGCTAGCAAGTGCCGATGGTGTAGATTCTTTCCCTCTGAAGATGCGATTATTCCTTTCCATCCAAATCTCCCAAAGCGTGGTCAAGACTGCTGAACGTAGCCCTTTCTGTTGCAACTTTTCTGCCTCATCTGTTTGCTCGCGCTGCCAATTGAGGAGAGTGTTGTCTGTGGTCACATGTAGGAAACATTGCGGTCTGAATTTGCGACCAATGTCCCGCCATACCTGCTGCATGAAGGGGCACTCCATGAAGAGGTGCTATACCGTTTCGAGATTTCTGAAACAGAGTTGGCAGAAATAGTTATTTGGCCAGCCCCTGCATTGCAAACGATCTGCCGTCCATATTCTATTTTGTGCCAGCAGCCACGCGAAGAATTTGTGTTTCCCTGGTGCCCAAGTTTCCATACAAGCTCAGCAGAATCCGAAAACGTTTTGCCCATGAACTGCATGACATATGCTGATTTTGCCGTATACAAGCCACTGGCCGACCACCTCCAGAGGATTGTGTCCTCAGCCCCTTCATGGATCACCTCTCCTGCGTTGTGGAGCACTTCCCATACGCATATATATTCCTGAAGCAGCTGTATTGTCACCCCTCCGCGGATGTCTTCGATCCAAGCATCATTAGTTATTGCCTCAAGAACCGACCTGTTTTTCCTTTTGGAGTGTTTGAAGAGGTTTGGGGCTAGGTATTTCAGCGGCTGATCTCCTATCCAGTTGGATTCCCAAAATTTCGCCTTTCGTCCATCTCCGACCGATACTTTGGTGGCAGCAGCAAACAGAGCACGATCGGTGTCATCACAGGGCGGCGGGGTTCCTATCCATGTTTTTTTCCGGGCTTGTCCACTCATACCAGAGCCAACGTAGCCTCAGCGATCGTGAGAACTTCTCCAAACAAGGTATGCCCAATCCACCATGTATTGTCGGAGAACATACTTGCTGCCAATTCACTTTACATTTTCCGCCCAAACTTTCTTGGTCTCCGGCCCAAAGAAATTTTCGTTGCGCTTTGTCAACATCATTTAGGAATCCTTTTGGTGGTTTAAGAACGGTCAGCAAGTAGGTTGGAATGGCATTGAGAACTGATTGCACAAGAACCTTCCGCCCGCTTTGATAAACCAGCTTGTTTTTCCAGCCCCCCATCCTTGCTCTGATTTTGTCCATTACCGGCTGCAAATGGACCCGCTTTAACTTCCCCGTAGTAAGAGGCAGTCCAAGGTAGGTTTGGGGAAAAGCACCCAGCTGCCCATCGAAGTTTTGAGAAATATCTTGGAGATCTATGTCGTTGCATCGAATTGGCGTGATTGAACTCTTTGTTGTGTTTACCTGCAGGCCCGTGGCATCCCCGAATTTGTTCAGGATTCCCAATAGGGTTTGCACTTCTTGGCGTGAAGGATTTAGGAACACTGCTGCATCATCTGCATAGAGAGAGGTTCTGAATTTTAGTGCCCGCGGGGCTACGCTTGACTAATTTGGTTATCATTTCAAAAGAACAGAAATGAATGGAGATAAGTTAAAAGTAGAATGTTTATCTCACAACTGACACTAAAACTGTTACTTATTTTGGTTGGCCATGAGTTGTAATTCCTCCATAGTATTATACTTGCTCTGAGATGCTCTTCAATGAGCTAATAAAGTGTTCCGACGGCAAAACACTATCTTCAGTAGACAGTGACACTTAACTGAAAATTATTGAGCATCCTTGTAACTGGCCGTCAGCTACTAGTATTATATACTGGACTAAGGTAAGGTGAACGCATAAAAGTGCATAGTATTTTTTAAGATGCATGAATTTATTAGCCATCAGCCAATGAACCAAAGTTTCAGCATAGATTAGCAAAGACATTATGAATTAGTCCTGAAGCACACAGACGTGAAATGTCTCACAAACAGATAGTACAGCAGCATCAGTGCATCACACCAATGTTTACCAGATTGATATATTAAGCCCCCCCCAAGTGATCAGTAATACTGTACACACCTTGACACCCTTCAAATTACATGAAACCCAAGAAAGTAATTAACACAAGCCAAACTATGCATGCATGGATGGATGGATTACGTACAATTAATTGCAAACATCAAGATGATTTCTTCTCTCATTTTTTCTTTTCGATTTTGCTCCATGATAGTATGATCCATGGTCAGACTCTGAGCAGGTAGATGCTGAGCTCCGGGCCGCCGCTGCCGTCAGGGTTCATCATGTAGAACGCCTCCGAGTCCCTCGACCCGACCACCCGCTCGAACCTCGCGCGCATGTACATCAGGTCGCCCTCCTCGGCGGCGGCGGCGGCGGCGGCGTCGTCGGGGAGAACGCCGGCGCCGACGGACACCGGCTCGACGGCGCCAAGAACCCTCCACTCGTCGGCGCCGCACTCCCTGCGCACCGCGAAGCCGCACTTTCGGCCGTTGCAGTAGGCCCGCCACGTCGGCTCCTCCAGCAGCGCCCGCCGCTTCTCGCCTGTACATGGTGCAACGCAACGAACGTCGCCGGTGGCCGACAGGCCGGCCGTCGTGGTGTTAGTGCTCGCCGGCGCTGAAGAGGATGAAGGTTGATTAATTCGTGTGTGTGCGTGTGTGTGTACCTGGGTTGATTGGTTGCTTCTCGCACTCGAGCGCGAGGCGGACGAGGCCGGAGGACATCTCCCTGACGAGCGCGCCGGTGGAGTAGGCGGCCATCTCCACCAGCAGCACCGGCGGCGAGCGGGTGTCCGTCTGCAGCGCGACGTGAACGCGGCCGCGGCGCCGCCCGAAGATGGTGCCCGTCAGGCTCGACCCCAGCTGCCGCCGCCGCCGCCGGTGCGTGATCGCCGCCAGGAACGCCGCCCGCAGCCTCGCCAGCGCGTCCGCGCGCTTCCTCGACGACGACGACGACTGCACCTCAGCAGGCTCCGCGGACGACGTCGCGGAGAACCGCGCGGCCCTCGTCGTCGTCCCCATCCCCGCCGCCTCATCTCCACCTCCCTCCCTCTCCTGTCCACCTCGCCGCTGCGGCGACGGCGGCTTGGCGCCCAGCCGCTTCCTGCTCAGCCACGGGAAGTTCCCGCCTCCGCCTCCGCCGGTGCCACCGCTCGCCGCGGCCGCCCTGGAGCTGGAGGACGGCAGCGGCAGCGGCGAGGCCGCGCGGAACGCTCTCGCCATGGCAAGCCACACCTCCAAAGCAACCAAGCAAGCTAAGCTAGCTAGCTCTCCCTCGACTTGTCCCCTGCGCGCGCGCGCGTGCGTCCCGTTAATAATGGGCTTTTGCTGCTGGCTCCAAGCCCACCAGTATTTGGTAGGGGGTTTTTAAGCGGGTTAGAACAGGTACAATAGCAGACTATAAGCTAGCTGTAAACATAGTTTAAGAAGATAAATAAGAAGAGAGAAAAACATCGGGCTATAGATTTGTAGCCAGCTATAGCACAGACTTTAAGATGCAGGGTGTGTATGACAGGTGAGACCAGGTATTAATAGTGTATTATATAAATATTGTATGAATGAGTTATTAGATTAGCTGTATATGAATTGGAGTTAGTAGGTGGCTATAATATTAAACTTGCTCTTAGCCGAGCAGCGCGTCTCGCTCTCGCTCCCGCGCTTTTGCAGGTGGCTCGCGGCCGCGCGCGTGCGCTGTCGGGTGTTGTTGGGGGGGGGGGGGGGGGGGGGTGGGCGGCGGCGGCGCGCGAGGTGTAGGACATAAATACCGGCACGAGACGGGGTTAGCGTCGCGAGACCGAGACGACGATTGCTACTACCGTGCGCGCGAGGAAAGCGGAGTTGGGGCGGTCGATCGATCGATCGATCCGCGGGCGATGCGATGCGACGCGGCGACGCCCGCGGGCGGCAGATGGGAGAGGGCACGGGGCATCGTCGCCGCCGTACGACGTGTTTACGGCGACACACGATCGCGGGGCAGGCAGCAGGTGGCGTCTCTACACGAGGTGCCCGTAGCACTGTAGCAGCAGCTAGAAGCCGGCAGCCGGGGGGCGTCGTCGCCCTGGCTGATTGGTCATATGCTGCATTGCTGCCTCGTGTCAAATGCATGCGTGCAAAAAGAATGAAACTTGCGTGTGTGCGCCGGTGCAAATAACTCGGCTGCCTACTGACTAACGGGCAGCCATGGATCGTGCCAAGGAAACGGAAAGCAGTTTGGTGCATTGGTACTGTAACAAACTACTAGTAGCAGGAGGAAACCACGAGATCGTTGGAAGGCAGCGGGTAGCAGTGCAGGCGCAATGTAAATTATGGTCAGGTGGGGGTAGTACGTATAGGAGTAGTAGGCAGCTAGCGGTCCCGGTGCCGGCGGCACGCGTGAATGCGTGATACCGGTGTGCAGGGGAGGGGAGGGGAGGGGGCCGGCGACGTTCCATAAATAACCTTCACCTACTTGGGCGGCGGCAGTGCAGATCAGATCACTCTATACGTACGGGTGTGGGATCGCCGGGTTGCCAGATAAACGGCGAGACGCATTTGGAGGTCCCTTGGATTAAAATGGGTTAATTGAATTCATATATTAAAAATTTACAGGTTTTAAAAATACTATTACTATGTACTCCCTCCCTACAATTCTAATATTGTTGACGTTTTGGGATAGAAACCAAAGTATGCAATTTTTTTGAAGTTTTAGGCCCTGTTTAGATCCCACTCCAAAATTTAACACCATGTCACATCGAACGTTTGAACACATGCATGAAGTATTAAATATAAGCTAAAAAAATAACTAATTGCATAAATTGCGGCTAATTTACGATACGAATCTTTTAAGCCTAATTGTTCTATGATTTGACAATGTGGTGCTACAGTAAACATTTGCTAATGACAGATTAATTAGGCTTAATAAATTCATCTCGCAGTTTACTGAACTAATTAGTTTTTTTTATTAGTACCCGAACACCCTATGCGACACCCTGTATAATACCCGATGTGACGCTTCAAAACTTTACACCCCTGTATCTAAACACCCCCTTAGTCTCTGCCTAAGCCCTGTTTAGATTCAAACTTTTTTCTTTAAACTTTCAACTTTTTCATCACATCGAACTTTCCTACACATATAAACTTCTAACTTTTCCATTATATCGTTACAATTTCTTTAAACTTCCAATTTTGATGTGTAACTAAACACAGCCCTATATATAAAGAACTTACTTGCTCCTGCATGCATGCATCCCATTACTTCAGAGTGCTTCGTTTCTCGAAGATAGGTTCCAAACCACCTAGGATATACAACTTGTTGATTCCAATTAGCACACCGGCACATTTAATATGGGTAAAGTAGAAATTAGGCATATAATAAATCATTCCTTGGTACGTAAGATTATGTCTAAAACGTCAATTAAATTAGAACCGGAGGGAGTATCTATTTATAGTTATGCTATTAAAATTTAATGGTTACTCAATACATTCATCATAATATTTAGGTCATTTTGTTCTCGTCTCTCTGTTTTTCCCTGTTACCTCTCTCTCATTTCTAGTGAACCCGACCTGATGAATTGATTTGGATTGGTGCCCATTAAGACCTTTCCTACCGCCGGCTATGTCACTACGCTGCAAAACAAGATATCTTCAGCTGATTTTGCCGATGCATATGGTAGAGAAGGTGACAGACAGGCAACGGGCATGCATGCTGCACATGGCACCACCGCAGCTGCGGTAACTAGGGTTGAGGAAGCTGAAGAGCATCCCCTGTTAGTACAAGTACGACATGAGCGTGCATTGCCAGATCTCCTTCACCTCCGCCTGCCTGCTTGCCTTACAGCTACTCGTGTGTGTCGACCTCACCTGTCATCACGATTTCTCCTAGGAAATGCACAGCCTCTCGCCGCGACATCCCCCGCCATGACACTACCTGTCACTCCTTGCCGCCTCACCGGGGACCCAGGCATCTAGCGCACGTCACAAATTTTCAAGAGAAATTTGATAAAAATACCACCTAATACTCGCAATTTGGTTATTTACCACCTAATCCGTACGTTTTCTTTAATATGCAACTAGTATTGCAAATTGCTCTATTTTGATACCATTTTTTCCTTTTTTTTTCTTCTCGGGTTGTTGGACATTTTTATCCCTGACCCCACATGTTGTATGAAAGGAGGTTTTTATTACACATCGATCGATGGAAAAATATATGATGGAAACTTAGAAACTATCGTTGGATCAAAATATGTACGTCTAAGATTTATCCACGTCATCACTGAGTAAAAATATTACTCATGAGTAAATCTAAGAATAAAATTTTTAGTTGTGATGACTTGGACGAATAGCATCCATTTTTCGATTCATTTGCACTACACATGTGGCTTGCTATACATATTTTCCCTCGATCGATCCATTCACCGCTCCCGCGACGCCAAGCGTTCGCACCAGCGGCACCGGTCTCGCCGCCATGCGCCCAAGCCGCCGAGCGCTACTCCAGCCACCGGCCCATGCCCCATCCCGCGCTGCCGTAGGTACAAATTTATAATGGCATGGGTATAATTAACCTAAAAAAGCAGACATTTGTAGGAAGTGCAGACTGCAGACGGGTAAGAACCCTAGACCAGATCAGAGTTTTAGCCGAAGTGCGAGAGGATAGAGGGAGGCGGCGCGATCATTCACTACCGGAGCACCCCTTATGTGGGGCGCTTCCACGGCTTCGTGATGATGGCGGCTAGGGCTAGGGCCAAGCGTAGGTAAGATACAGATAGGGAGTTCTTTGTTGATGGGATCGAAGAGATGGAGGAGGAGGGTACAACTACAATGTCGATGCCGTGGCCATGGATTGTCAAATACCATGGTAAACTTTACCATCCATAACTTGTTATCATGGGATTTGATCTGGAAATTGTAACCTAATCGATGCAAAATAGCTAACGGGCAATCGATCGCCCCTAGCGCGCCCCCCTCTTCTCCACGTGGTTTCCTTTTTTGCACCACATTACTTTTCAATTTTAGTAAATTTATGCACCTAAAGTTTGTACACCTCAAGTTTACATATCTAAAGTTTAGAGACCCAAAGTTTATAAATCAAAAGTTTATATATCCGATTCAAATTTGAATTTGAATTCAAATACTTTTTATATATAGTATTTCTATACATCTAAAGTTTATACACCTAAAGTTTATAGACCCAAAGTTTATAAATCAAAAGTTTACATACCCGATTCAAATTTGAATTTGAATTCAAATATTTTTTATATATAGTATTTCTATACATCTAAAGTTTATACACCTACAGTTTATAGACCCAAAGTTTATAAGTCAAAAGTTTACATACCCGATTCAAATTTGAATTTGAATTCAAATATAGTTTATAGACCCAAAGTTTTATAAGTTAAAAGTTTACATACACATTTTAAATTTTAATTTGAATTCAATTTTTTTATATATAGTATTTCTATATATAAATTTTTTCAACTTTATTTTTTTAAAAAAAAATTATGGTGTACTGTAGTAGGAAGAGAAGAAGGGGAGGAGGAAGGGGGAGAGGAAGAGCGTATAGGGGGAAGGACAGGTGATCGCTAGGAGGATAGGGAAGCAATCACCCGCCCACTAGCAATATCCTAATCGATGTATGTATTCCCCCGATTTTTTTTTATTTTTTAGACCTTTTAATGCTTTGATTTTATTAATAGACTTTCTAAAAGTATTTTTAAGAAATAAACCTTTTGGCCACGCCTGCCTGGCAGTGGCAGGGTGGTTTGGCCATGCCAGCTACAGTGCGTGGCAGACACCGGCTGCGTGTGGCGTGAGAGTTATTTGGGCACCAAAAGAAAGATTCATTTCTTGAAAATACTTTTAGAAATGGTCTATTAATAAAATTAAAACATTAAAAGGTCTAAAAATAAAAATAAAATTATATTCCCCCTTCACCCTTTTGTTCGTTATTGATGAAATCTTAGCGTGCTGATGTGCTAAATTTCTTAATGCTCCTTGACTTTCTATTCCGCCCATGCCCATTACCTTTTCCTGTTAGCGACTATTTCCTTAATTGTTTTTAGTCTTGTTAGGGCATGTACAATGGTCTTTATTAGCGGTCTCTTTTTATTGTCATGCAAGCATATTTGGTGACGTGAAAGAGAGAGGAAGAAGGAAAGAGAAAGATAGTTGCTACACATGACAACGGCATAGAGTCGACTCTTAACATTTATTAGAATTTTTTTTGTTGCATTAAGTCTAATAAAGGAAAGATAACTAGTAAGAAAGTATTTTGGTACATTAATAGTTAGAGACCGTATTGTTTTAACTATTGTAAACGTGATAGTCTCTAATTAATGTAATTAACGTACCGGTCTCTATCTTTATACTTGCCCTTATAATATTTTTGATGATCTGTTTGGCAAACATGATAAGTCAAGAGCTTACCATGTCAATGATTTCATCTTTTTTTTTCCCTTTTTGGGTAGTTTGTACTGTTTGGAAAGATCTTTTGGCGCGAGCATTGGGATGGAACAAACTCTTGCTCACAAACTTGAATGGGACAAAGATCTTATCGGTATCGATAACAGATCACTTGGATCATTTCAATTTGCGATACGGTAGCTCATGGCATTTACCTATATATGGTCTTAGTGCATTTTTATATTTTTGAAGAATTCCATCTATTTTTAGATAATGTACCAAACTTGTTTTTGGAAAACAAAGGCGTAAGCTCTGCCTTAGAGATACACATCGACGGCTCACACCGAAAACACCATCCTACAAGACCAAACTTAGGGCCCCTTTGAAAAGCAGGATAGGAAAAATACAGGAATAGGAAAAACGTAGGAATTGAAGTTGTATGTTTTTCCAATCCTACAGGAATTGAAAACATAGGAAATGGAGAGAAGAGCCATTTGATTACACCACAGGATACACTCAACAAAGGAAAGTTTCACAAGAGGTCTAACCTCTTGCTTATTTTCCTATGGAATTGATCATAGGAATACAATCCTATGGAAGTTTTCCTATCCTCTTCCTATGAATCAAAGGGCTCTATAGGAAAAAATCCTTAGGAAAATAAATCCTTCAAAATTCCTTTGCTAATCCTCCATTTCAAAGGGACCCTTACTCTCAAAATGCAAACACGGCAAGCATAGCTCAAGCTTTTGCGGTCTTCAGTCTTCACCAGCCAGTTCTGCTCTCATAAGCAAAAACCGTGTACTAGAACACGTGGTGATAAAACTTCTTTGTGCATAATTTTCATGTCTTAGCTCACTATTGTATTTTTTAAGAGTAATTCAAGCTTTTAGCAAGATGTACGTATATAGGGCATTTAGTTTATTGTGGTTACTCCATCGATGTTGCAACTTGTAACATAATCTCCATACTGGTGGTATGGATGAATAGTGCTATGCCTGCATGACTGCGTCCTTTGCTTACCTGGTTACTTCACTTACCCTTTTAGCACAAGCAAGAAGACAAGATTACACAAGTCTTCAACTTCTAGCAATGTTGAATAAATGCTGGTCATTAGTCGCACTTGCTGCGTCACAAGTATATCATGAAGGAGGCTTCAATGCTTCAAAGGGTACCAAAAAATAGCTTCCATTGAATGAGATCAGATTTCGATTACATACAGGCAATCAATGAAAACGCTATGGCCGACGACTGCTCGCCTTGATCAGCAAAACTGCAGCATGCTAAAATGGTATTTCCCAGCTGCACAAGAGCTCTATTTCGCTAACAGGAAACGACACCACAAGGTTAACTCATCTAATTCTATAGTATGTACACGGTGACATGGGATACCTATACACGGGATGGGGCTACCAGGTCTAAATGTTAGTTGCCACCACTATCTACAAGCATCGACTAGAAAACATCCAGAGTCATGCACGGCGATCAAATGATTCTGATGTATCAACACCATGCCTGCTGACAGAAAGATTGCCTTTCCTGTCACGTTAGGAAGCAATCAAGCTTATGCGGTTGCATGTAGCGTCTGATGAAGCCCAGAATGTTCAGGTTCAAGAGCAGAGCTGCTGCTTCATATCTCCCAGGTACCGGCATATTGCTGCAGCAAACACCTGAAATGGTTGCGAGGTCAGTTAGCTGAATCCCTTTATTTGCATCCGAGGCAAGCTTTTTGCAAAAACTAATTCCAGTTTGGAGCCGGACTAAAGCATTAAAGTAGCACTGCAATATTCTCTTGCACTGATCGAGTAGGAAGCATGGAACTACTCAAATGTTTTACAAGGATCATCTACTTACCATTATCTGATCCTCTTGAACCCACAGCTGGAATCTGCATCACTTGAACCCCAAAGGAGCCTGGGCCAGCAACAGCAAGGCACAGCTACCAGCAGCGAACACATCTAGTATGAATCTTGCATTAAACAGCTTCTAGCTTGATTGGTGCTTTTGTAAAAACTGATAAAACAAAAGGTGCTTCCTCTCCAGGATGGATGGTTGTGGGCACAATTGTGTATCCTTTTGGATAAGGCTCCAACACTAATTCACATGATATCTCCCTTGAGTTAACATAATCTGTTCCACCCACTGATTCATGCATGTAGATATTGTAAGCAGCACGGCAGCCCCGTGTCTTGAGTATCCTCATTCCAATGTAAAACATAGAAGAGTCATGGCTAGATTGATAGTTCCGGAAACCATTTGTCTTTCTAGAAAAACCAACACCCTGGCAAAGCATGGAATTTGTTTATATCAACATCATAGTGAAATCTCCAAGTACATTAACATTCAGGATGGAATATACCTGCGTAAGGGTAATAAATACATGTACAGGATACAGTGCATCCCGTCCTGTTACTCTAAGCCGGTACTGAGGATTTTGATGCCATGAGTCATAATCTTGGCAACCACCTGCACTATAACCACGCCATTGGCCATGGACAGAGTAACGCATCTCGGGTGGATAAACACGACAGACATATATTGACCGAAAGTGGATCTGAAAATCTTGCCAAGACATCCAGAATACCCCATTCTTTGACTGCAAAAACAAATATGGGTAGGGTCAAAACTGCACACGGAAATAAAGTTGGGAAAATATATTTTGTTTTTGTAGGTACAATGCCTTAAGCTGAAATCAACAAACTGGAGGGGTGACAATCAACACATCGGTTTTTTTCTCATTCTATTTTAAATTAAACTGTAGTGTGCTCACTCAAGAGCACAGTCAACGAGATAAGCAACAGACCAACAATTTTATCATGCTAAAAGGAACCAGTATTTGGTGGGTTCATCTATTAAATTTGACGCAGTTGTGTATCTTTCTAATCACAATTAGTGGAATACCAGCTGTTCAAGTACACGGTCACAGAGAAGAGCAAGTACCTGTGGAACATGCTTAAGTTTGTGCTTCATTCGCTCAGTCCACTCTTGTGATGAGTCTGACCACGGACCATTCCATTCAACTTCATTTGCCCACGGATTTCTAATTTGCACGAGCTTATGGCCATCAACTTCTCTTACCTGTAACATACAATATAAATTTGTCTAGCGCAAAAAGAATGGGAACTAAGTGATTGCCAAAAGATACAGACAAGTCAGAGCAAACCTGCAAAATTGAGTAAGCATGTCCCTGAACAATGCCACTTGATGAAATATGAGCATCCGAGCCAGAAGGACTTCCAGCACCAAGAAGAAAGCCCTCTTGTTTAAAATGCAACAACTGAGACCACAATCTTCCACTAGCAAGATCAATCTGCGCTTGGGGGCTCCGCATGTCAATCTCTTCACCAGCTCCTCCTGTGAGATCCACTAGAGCATCTTGCACAAGCCCACCCTCCAATGCCTCATAAGAGCCATGAAGCTTTGCATAAGCTTTTTCAAGAATGGATACCCACAGCTCATTTTGCTTTCTACTAGTAGCAAATGCCGGTTTCCCCGGAGACTCACAGGGGATCCAATCATCAACCACCACTGCCACCCATTCACCCTAGTAATTTACAGAACATTGAAATATAAGCTCAGATCAAACTGGTCAAAGATAGTTCTTCACAGGACAATCTCAAGTCTTTTTTGTGTTGGTGGGAAATACTCCCTCCTTCCCAAAATGATCATCATATATGTTTGTGCACCAAGACCAAGGATAATTTAAATCACATCAATCAAGACACCATACACACATTCTCCCACAATGCATGCATCGATCAAAACACCATGCCAATTACACCTAGCATGCACACATTCTCCCATGCTGCATTAATTGTATTCTGATAAAATCCGCGTCTATGCGGTTATATGATGATCAATTTGAGAAATTTTGAATTCCATTACATGATGATCAATTTGGGAAGGAGGGAGTAATCCACAAGGTCTGGTGAATATGAGCTATTTATACTATTATTTCACTTTTATCAACTTACCTTTGAGTTTCATCGTAAAATTTACAAGCATATACTGCATATGTAAGTTGTGCATTAGTGACTTGTTCACTCATGGTTTTCAATGTTGTTTATGCAGGGCATAATGCACATGTGTAATTGTATATATTGTGTCATTCCATTTGGGAATTTCCCTAAAACTCGAGCAAGATAATGGTATGCATTATGTTCTTCATGGTGGTATGCCCCTTACTAGGGTCTCGCAATGTTAGCATTTCAGAAGACGTTGGCATTCTTATATGCACCCTATGGAATATGAATAGCAAATCTAAAGTCATGAATCCCATTTTTCTTAATTAAAGCATATAGGTTGTAAGCCTATGTATAAATATATATTAGACAGCTCTAACAACTGTTTATGTATTTATGTAGTATCAACTTGTCCAAATTAATTATTTCGAACTAGCGGAATTTATCCAAACTAAAATCTGCAAGTCAAGGTTTCACTGAGCCTCTAACAGCACTATTAGGTAGCACACATATCCACCATAGCTCTAGTAACTTGTGGCTGTTGTATTATTTCTGATTAGAACTTCTTTCCCACAATGCAGAAGAAAATGGCTTGTTGATATATGTTGAACACAAAGTAACAAAGAGAATCAACTTGCAGCTCACAAATCTGTTAGTTTGCTTAACCAATTCAACTTTGATATTTAACTCTGTATGAGACTAAAATGTTAAATCTCACCAAGATGGTGTGCTCTACCAATATACTTTACCAAAGGAACAACCCAAGAAAATGGAATGGAGGACAGATGGGTCAGATCATTGAATACCTGGATACAGAATCTGACAGTGTAAATCCCTTCTTCATTATACTCAGGAGTGATTATAACTTCAGATATACGGGCCATCTCTGTCAAAACTGCAACAGCGCTCAAGAACCAACAGTCGCCCAACCGACCCTGAAAAGAACAATCGGACAAATTGGATTGTGTGTCATGTATAGGAAGATGGAAATGTATAAAGTTGAAATTCTAGTATAGGGGAAGACCCCACATCAGCACAAAGCAAAATCTGCGTACCTGACACACATCTGACGAATTCACAGAACCAGAAAATAAGCACGGTTGTGAACTGATAGATACCTCCTTCGCAATATCAGAAGGCCTCATCCACTCAGAGACAACCTAAACTCAGAAACACAGATGACAGATCAATGTCAAAGACCAAGCCAATTCTTAGTGCACAAGTCAGAAACTCAGCCAGTTCTTAGTGTACAAGTGGTAGACAAATGCATGCAATAGTACCTGCAATTTTAGAGATGGGTTCATCGGATCTACAAACAGAGATCGATCATCCGGAGGGAACTCTTGATCAGTAAAATTTCTCTCTCCCTTCGCAATAAGAGCCTCTCTAACAGCCCTTTCGACAGAAAGCATGCGCTGATTGACTTCCTCTCGTGTCTCAAATCTTGGTTTCCTTGGTCTTCTAGCAAAGGAGTCAATGTCAATAGCTACAGAATCACGCGCATGACGTTTCCTACCACTGGAGTACTGTCCATCCCATTCAACGTCCTCTTGATCATATAGTTCAAAATTTGCTTCTTCACTTTCCCAGTCATCCACCTGTTGAAACAATATTAGATGTATGAATATCACATGCATAACTTCATAATCCCTTCCATTTCATGGCTCTCAAGAAAGGTAGAAATGAGTAATTGTTCAGGCCTTGTTCGTTTAATCCCTCCCAAAAGAGGATTTGGAGGGGATTTGTTCCACACCTATTGTGTTGTGGAATCATTCCCCCTCAATCCCTCACTATTGGGGATTAAACGAACAAGGCCTTAGGAGTTTCATGTTCCCTTCTAATTAATGAAATAAAAGCAAGATAAACAGTAGGAATAGATTGGTCGAAACAAGAACTTGCCCTTGCAGAATAACTTCCATGCCAAGCATCCTCAGCAGCAAGATCAAAAAGGCCATATTCAGCAGAACAGATGGCTGTATGCAACATAGCAACCTCATCTTCAGTCAGACATCTTCCCCATAGAAAAGCATCCATGATCTGCATCTTTGAGTCTGATCCCTCGCTGTCTGACCTACCAAAGGCATCTAAGTCCGTGGGTGGCCTAGCACCAACCCAAATATCTGTCCCAGGTTCCCAGATGCCATTATTTCTAGGCAATGGCAACGCATTCTGATATCCATCGTAGACTCCGTCTATGAAAGAAGTTGCTTCACCTAGATCAGCATCTATAGTCACAGTGACAAGATGCCACCTGAAAATTAACATTGGTTACAGTCAGGCATTACCAGGAAAAAAAAAAGTTGATGAAATGTTCCACCCAAAAAGACATGCGACAAGTCCATGTAAGACTAGTATTTCGATGTGAATCTGAACATAAACAGGTTGGCTCTCTTGATTCTTTTTTTTTCATGCAAAAGAAACAGCAGTTGTCACGAGCTGGTACCTGCCATCAGCAATACTTGATGCACCAATATTCCACTCTTTTGCAACGGTTGTCATCCTTTCACCCTTAGTCACCAATCGAAGACCAACTTGGCCAGCTTCCATTCCCTGTTCTGACCCTGCCACCAAGATTTCCCAGCACACTTTTTTCTGGAATTCTGTTCCAAAAAGACAGACTGGACCTGACACCGGCTGCACCATTACTGCAATGGAGAAGCTAACTTTTTTACTTTCACAAAGACACAAATCAATCTCTCCACAATGACGCCCAGTACTCCTTGGTTCATCATCAAGTATGCAAACAGTGTCTGGAATGCCAGTCTGCACAGTTCGTAACAAGTAAAAGATCCAAAGAGCATCAGTAAAAAAGTAATTACAAGAACTGCATGTATAACATATGGTACTAAATTTATAAACAGAAGAAATGATTCCAGGCTATTACACGTAACTAACTGTCATGCAAAAATTGATGCTTTGTCAGATAACCAACTCCAAAATGGATGGCAAAAACAGATAATAAATATCCAAAGATGAATATGTTCAGTTCATGCACTCAAAAGGTACACCATGAGAACTATATCATCATTAAGGTGTGCTTTAGAAGTTGATAAAATCTAATGATTACAGGAACAGTAACAGAACCTGCTCTGCTCGCCGAGCCAATTGTGCCTTTCTTATGTGACGAGCTATTGACGAGACCCTGTCCCTTGCAAAAGAATCTTCCAGAGCAGAATCACCACCCACAGCTCTGACAGCTGCTGCCATGGCTGCAGCATCCCTGCTTCCAGCATTAGGAATAGAAGATAGCAGTGATATTTCAAGCTCCTTCCATTTTCGTTCCTCTCTCTCCAACAATGCCTTCCTCCTTTCCCTTCCCTTCCCTTCTTCCTCGCGCCTTTGCATCAAGACCTCCTCTTCCATTTCTTTTTCCCTTATGTAGCTGAATAAGCGAATAAGAGAATTTAGATGGCGGGCACAGAGGTTTACAGGGTTGCAGATAGAAACATTGCATACATAAAAGTTTTAACAATAACCTTTCTTGAATAAGTTCAAAATGTCTTCGATCTTCAGGCATCCATTTCTTGATTTCTTTGGCACTTAAGTCAGAAAGACCTATGCTGTCCAGAAAAAGTCTAAGACGAACTTCATCCTGAAACAACAGACATTTCCAACATTGTTACAGATTTTAAGAACAAAAAAGATTAGGTGGGAGTAGTCCCAAATGCATACCTGTATTTGCTCAGCTTTGGCAGTCAAGCCAAGCAGAAGAAGTAAATAACCACCAAACTTGTCCCACATGTAAACCCATTCAGTATCAATTGCTTCTTCCAAAGCCAAAATACGTGCATGGGCACACATATTCCTCCGATAATCTACATCTACAGGGGATCCAATCATTAAACAATTCTTCACTCCACAAAAGAACGATCCTGCCGTAATTTCTTCATTTCTTAAACGATCTCTCAGCTTCATGACATCAGCCCTAGGAAGCACAAAATTCCCAGCCCTGTCCAACGTAATAGCAGGATCTCCAACCAAAAGAGCAGCAGAACTTGCGGATCTCTGAGGCGCCGAGTAAGTCCCAGAAATAGCATTTCTCGTCTGATTGCACACAAAGCATACTATTAACAATACAGAAATAATAAAAATCAGAGTCATAATAATCTCATTGATAAGTACTGGTCCTGGATATTGGAGTAGATAACACCAGCAGCACTTATGTAAGTGTCAAGGCTGACAAGGAGTGGGAACATACATGATTGAACTTGATGCACTAGATTAAGAAAACATAGTTCTGATCTCAGCGCTAGATGCTAAGTGGTAGGCTTACTGAGGCAGGTTTAACAGAAAAGTATGCAAGCAAGAACAGCATTTACCTATGTTACGCAGGGATATGTTGAATATCTGAATAATACAAATATACAGCAAACTTACTTTGTTAGCAGAACGTGACATTGCTTGTACAACTGTATCCTTACTGAGAAAGTGAACAGCGTCCTCCAGCATCTGACAAAAATTTCACAATTAATTTAAGAAGGATCAAGAAAAAAGAGGAAATAAAGGAGTGTATTATTGCCATTGGTATTGGCACTTCAGGATTTGCCAACCAATGTGCCACTGATGTGAGCGGCTACATGTGGTGGAGTTGCAACTGGCAAGTGCTGAAGTGCATATTTTTGGGTGACAAATCCTAGATTTTCCTAAGAGAGAGCTCATTTCAATAATCTGCTGATTTTGGATAAACAGAAATACTAACCTTGAGAGTCAGGCATGGTCGAGAAACAGCAAAACTGAAGGCAATTACAAGAGTGATAGCAGAAATAGCAGCCCCAATAAATGGTGGATTCAATATTAGACTGGCAATGACACCCCAAACTTCAGTAGCCAATGCAATCCCATACAAGATAAGGAAGGCATAACTGTAAATACAGCAATGTTAGGGTGTGTGCTCAGATGACAATAGTACTTCTAAAAATAGCATAGAAGAAAGAAGTTATGAGTTATGACCAATCCTGGTCAAAGGAAAGATATATAAGCATGTAGAATTAGAAAGGCCATATCCTGATATCCGTACCTAACATTTTTAGCAGAGTCTGCATGGGCATCATAAACATAAACAGGTAATACCCTCGGTGAATACACGACAATTGGTGGTGATAGAAGGACCTGAGAAGAGTACAGTAAATTCAATATTACAAGCATAACTCTTGAGATAACTCACAAGTAGCAAAACTAGCATGAGATGTTCAACAGAAATTATCTTAAACATGTAGCTAACTTAAGTTAAGAAAAAAGATATGAAACTTACAGTCAATGCTCTTCCTGTGAGAAGAAATAGAAACGAGAAATAACCTATAGATGCCCCAACGAAAGGTTTCTCTGCAAAAAATCATCAGCTGATTTAAGCTATGTGCATAATATGGGAAACTATTATGTAACTCGGAGAAAGAAAAATAGCAATAACAGGTTGAAAAGCATATAAGAAGATGTAGTCACCCTGAAATAAGCCCATCAGGAAAGCAGCCAAGGCAAGGAGAAAAGCAAGGGAGCAAACAAGTAACATTTGTGTCCTTGTTAAATAGAAATTGTTAGATGTCCAGTAGTGAATGACACCAATAGCAAATACAAGGAACAAGATGACAAGGAGGCATGCAACTCCAACCTGCATAGCAATGACAGATCAATTATGCTGTCTCTTATCACAAATGAAATGAATATTATGATAAATTTATTTTGAAAACCAAGCCACAAACTTTACTTACAGTCCAAGGTCTAATTGTAACAATTACTGCAGATATTGCACCAAGCAATAACAGCACTCCCATGCCAACAAATAGGTAAACTCCACGGGAAATCTTCCAATCATCATCCTTCCTGAAATTATTTGCAATTTCATCTCAGAGGAGCAGAAGTATGCAAGGACGTACAAATAATAAACATGGTTTCCAATTTTCCATACCATTTATACATCCCAGTAAACAACGAGAACACAGCAGGAATGCAAAGTAATGGAAGTAAAGCTGCCAGGAAATCAGCCTTCAGAGGAACTCCATCCTGTCGTGAATTTACCACTCCCCAGTAGGACACACCACAAAAGGATACAAGGACAGCTGCAGAAAGTCACCAGTCAAGTGCCAGTTATCCAAAAGTGTGATGTGCTCTATTTAATATGCAATGAGAACGGAAAAGAAGAGTAGAACATACTTGCAAAAAGGCCAACACATATAGCTGATGAAGGTGAAAATCGATAAGTAGCAAACCAAGCGACAATAGGTATCACCCCAGTGGCAAGTACAGCAATCGTTGATGATAATGCCCATCCAAGATACATCGATGTTGCATAGGGAGAATAGAAACTCTTTTTATCAGCATCCCATCCCTTGTAGCCCAATGCATCTAGAGGTTTTGCTGATACTATTGCACCAAGGCCAATTACTGATGCAGTGAAAACAGTTATGCTGATGGCAAACAGAGCGCGCTGACAAGAAGATAACAACGATCAGTAACATGAAAATCATTAACAATGCTGGAAGGTCTGAATGCGTTCTACACTATTTATAATAACATTAGAGAGGTCAAGAGGTATGTGCTGTAAAACAGAGCCTGAATTCTTTTCAGTAGGATAGCCTACAAAACAAGATTTTATCTAATGCTGATAGGAATCACAACAATACAGTGAAAATTGATTCAGTAAACATATTCAGGCATTCATCCAGAAGTTGTTAACAGTATATTGACATAAGGCCATATAGTAAGATGATACTGGTTACAGTACTTCCCTTACAACTACGCAAATAGCTTATACAGACATTTATTGGATATCCAAATATATAAACAAAAGGGTGTCCTGCTGCTGAATTAACAAAAACAACAAACCTCTTTCTTTCCTGGAGCTTGGCGGATATTTTCACGGCTATCAAGCTCCCCTCCCGGAATCCAGAAACGGTAACCGTTACGCATCCATATGGGAATAGCAAATGAGAGACAAGCCACCATAAGTGGGACCGTGAGTGACAAACCCAAAATAACTGATGACTTGCTGCAGAATGGCAGAGGTAGTATTTCAGACAAAAGTGTAAGTACTTCCCCAATGAAATGAATCAATGATTATAAAAATCTAGTGGCTAGAGAGTCATACATATGTATAAACAAGGCATATGCAAGATGCTGTGAATATGTCAATTGTCAAAACAGGAACAATAGAATAATCAAGAAGCACATTTTAGCAAGCTAGGACACCTTATCCAGATAAAAGGAGTAATCCACTTAAAGCTAAAACTTTGCATACTAGGAACTCGAGGCAGCAGCTATGACTGGAATCTTAGAGGCAGCAGTGACCAGGAACTCTAGATGGTGGTGTTGACCAAGACCTGGAGGTGACAAAGATGGGGAGCTCAAGGCGGTGGTGGCGACTAGGATGTGGAGGTGACGGCGACAGGGAGCTTGAGGCGGTACTGCGTTAGCGATTGGGACCTAGAGGCCGTGGCAACCAGGAGCTCAAGGTGGATCCAGCGATGATCAGGACCTTGAGTAGGCTAATGGAATGGAAGGGGATCAAGTAAGAGTTTTCAGGCTGAGCGCTGGCAGTGGGTATGATGGCAAAGGTGGGTAAATTACTCAAACAAATCCCACAAAAGCCATGGAGGAGCAAGGAAATGAGATCTCCTTGTCTTCATGAATGGGCTTCCTTTTGTGAGCAACTCCTGGGATGAGCTAGCCGTGTGAGAAGTTTGCTAGCTTTTTTCTGTTCAAAAGCTGGCTAAAAGCTGTCCCAAAGGAGGTCTAAGACAAGACTACCATATAGCAGCGCAAAGCACGTCAGAGTATAATTTTATGTACATCAACTCAAAATGAGCTGTGCATAGAGAACTTAACAAGTAATTGTACCATGATCAGATAACAAGTGGTGAGGTTATCTTCATGAAAATAGATAGGTCTCTTTTGTTTGCAACAAACAAAAGAATGACTCGATGACATTTATTCGTACTAATGCTAATAATAACACACATGATCAATTCTACCAATATAAAAAGATTCCAAGCACAAGGTGGCGTAGCAAATGAACCAGGCAGAGACACAGTATTATAGTAACAGACTTATACAATAAAATGTACTTGTGTAGAATATACGAAACAAGTGGACATGGCTATTATGCTGTGCATGTATCATTTGATACCCATGTGAAACTTCTAGTCAAACCAGCAAGACACCAAAGCAGGGAAGGAAAACAAATGAGTACTCCAGGATTTACACAAGGCAAAATGCAGTAGTAACTAAGTGAAGTTTTAAATATTAAATAACAAACATGTATACCTCAAGAAAGACAGAAGTAGACCAACACAAGTACTCAGCAACCATGCGATGAAGCCATACTGTAGATGGGAAAAGAAAGGAAAAGTCACTATAGCTGAAAATCCACGAAGATTTTGAAAAAAAAAATCAACTACATGGTCAAAGTAAGATAAAGCACACATTGTAATCAGATTTGATATTTTGTAGACGAGTTAAGGAGGACAGAACATATCTAAATGTCTAGTGAAGAAGCAAAAGGACTTGTCCTGCCATGATTAAAAAATAAGTGCTTGGTATTAATACGACAAATATATTTCTTTTGTTCAACATCACCTTCCGAGGTTTGGATGTCATCGTCATCTCTTCTGCACACAGGGACCAAATGAATGCCATAATGGAGCAGACAACTGGTGATAGAAGCAGTATCGAGAAACCAAACTCAAACTGCCAAATTCGAAAAAGGACACTCTTGATTAACAACACAATCAACATTTCAAAGTTTTTATACTGTCTTTGCAACAAACTTACCTGTTCATGAGTTGCATTTATAACCTTGATGGGCTTCGGTCGATGGACAGCCACAGTAACTGTTTCTATGATGAATATTAGGGTAAAAACAACAAAAGCACGTATTGGTGAACCTGCTACTTGATGAAACATCAGCCTTGAAAGATTTAGCCAATTTTCTAGCCCACTTCTCCTAAGTTCCTCTGATAGCGAGATCTGGTTTGCAATAGTTGTATCTAACCTATCTGAATCAGTACCAGTGACATCTACATCATCTTGATGCTCTCTGTCTGCATCTAAGCTGCTTCTCTGCAGCAAAGCTAAAATTCGTGGGTCCATAACCTTGTCTTTCATCATATAGGAAAAATTTGGATCAAGGCCTTTATCCTGAAGAAGATTAGCCAATTCTACATCTCCTAGTCCACCATTCCTTTTTAGCATAGATGTGATTCTTGGATCATTCAGTCTGTCCTGAAAAATTGCAGCCAAGTTCAAATCCAATAGCTGCTGATTACCCGAGGCAGTAGCTGATCCACTAGACTCGCAGCCTTGACTTTCCAAACCACTACTAGAGCAAACAACGAGTGAAGCAGTTGGGTCCCCATGCCTGTCCGCTGAAACTACAGCAGTTTCAGGGTCTTGTACAGCTACAGCAGAAAGGCACGAATTACTGCGATGGGCTAAACTGGCACGTCCACTATCTATGTTCTTGTCAGAGCTCTGTCCTTCTTGACAACTATTCGATCGATCAAAAGGAACATTGTTCCAATTGACACAATCGCTTTGTGAGTTGCTTCTGTACATAGAATCAGTAGCATTGCCATGAGGACCAGCTTCAACACTGCCACTACTACGCTTCACACTAGATCCACAGCCATCTGATGAGTTTGAAGAACTAGTTTGCCCCTTCCTTCGAAAACCTTCTCGGAGTTTTATCACTGTGCTTCTTAATGCATCTATCCTTGCAACTGAGGGGTTTGAAATAGAAAGCCAGCAAGAGACAGCTGCAGCTAAAAGCACAGATGCTACAAAAGCATAACTGATGCAATGTCCAAGGTACCTAATGTAACACATTAATTAGTAAACACAAAGTACTAGATCATAAATATGTTCAACTATAAAAGCATAAAGATGAATACAAACCAGTAGTGCACCCCAAAGCATATAAGGAAAACCCTTGATGTTCCAGCTACAAATAGCGCTATCATCCGACTTTTAAGAAGCTCAAACCTAAATGAACACAGGCCCAAATTCCAGTCTGTAGAAAAGAAAATAAGATGTCAAAGAAATAGATACATCATGCACAATTAGAGATACAAGGCCAAATCATTACCGAGAATCACTACTGCAACTGAAGTTAAAGCACCCAGCCAGCGTGCTTCTTTTGATGTCAGACCATATAAGATGGAATAGACAACAAGAACCATCAATGAGCAAAGGTAAAGAAGCCCTAGATGCAAGACCCTGCATTTTAAGGCATTGATATGTTACCAAAACTACTAGAAATTATTGCTTACCCCAGTAACAGCATAATAGAACAAGCACGTTACTTGGGGAACATATATGCCTATGTAGTATTTAAGAGAGGAAAAGGTAGTGAAGTCACCTGCTGGATTTTGTCATGTATAACTCACTAGGATCTGGTGGGTCAGGCGAGCATGAAACAGGGGCCACTTCAACACAATCAGAATATGCAAATTTGTACAACCTTCGGACATACTCATCAACATCGAATCCACTTCCTGTACATGTAATGTATGAAAAGTTATGTTTCTCAAATTTTTTATTTACAGGTGATAAGAAATTCAGCAAATAAAGATAACGGATAAGAATTTTACCATTGAACAGTATTTTACTTATAAAAAGCATATTTATGGCCAATGAAATTGCAGATACCCCAAAGAAGAAGCCAGATGGGGAATTGAGCTCAGAAGCACTAGCACCGGTTGTAACATAAACAGCACAAAACTCATAAGCGCACAGTAGACCGACTGCCAGGAGTAGAAGATAAGCAACAGCCTCTGCAACAACCAACATTTGTTAACATCAGTAAGATATTAATAAAGAACAATGAGATGATAGAGCGGCCCAATTTTGCAGAAACAGCACATACAAAATACCACATGAATCAAAGAGTTAGAAATTGCAGTTTTATAAAGTGAGAAAAGTTCAAATTTGTAGTAGCATACTAGTATTTTTAATCCTCCGTGAAGCTTTAAAAGTTTTCCTTTGAGTATGCCAAAATGTTCCATTTATACCATTTCCTAGTTACAATTGTCTAGAAACAAATTGGACCCCCAAAATAAGCAGAGAAGTCCTAGACAATCATCGCCTATTAGAATATCAAATTTAATGAACCCATGACTTAGAAGTCATGAATAAACAGCCACTTATCAGAATATTTGGTTTAATGAAACCATGACCCTAAGTACAAGCACATTGAGTAGTCATCACAAAATGTCCTAGAAAATAAAAGCATGTAAACAGTAGAAAACTTACTGGAGCTTTGCCATTGCGTTCTCCACCACAACATTATAGAGTAGAATGACAGAAGCAAAGCAACACCGACCATTATAACAGCTAGCCCAATTATGTTCCTTTCCAAAAGAGCAATAAGGATGCCTCCCCATACTAACAAAACTGTTATTGGAGAAACGACGACAAGCCATGCAAAAAGAGTGAAAAAGCTGCACAGTGTGCTTAGTTGAGGTCCTTGCACATATGCTGGCCATTTCCTTGCATATATCCAACTGAGTAACAAAACAAGAACGAAAATGTTAGTAGCTTAATGAGATAATCCAGCTCTCAGAACATCAGGAACAAATCAACATAAACAAATATGCATAGAAGATATAAGAATAGAAAAACATCAACGTTTTTCAGGGCACTACTTGTGATTGTAGTTAGACACAATTACATGATCGTATTCCATAATCTACATATGAATGGCAGGCTTAAAATATATAAGGTGTGGTGTTGGATTAGCAGCATAATAAAGACACAATAAATAATTTCAGTTGTTAGAGTGATAATGATACCAAATCTACATTGTTGTATGCACTCTGCTGGCTGAAATTTATGGAAACATAACGTATGATTAATAATGCAACCTCGCAGACTACAGATGCAAATGCTAGATGCCAACAGAAGCACGCCTAATCTCGAGCATACCTATATAGCCTCCACGGCCTCCAGTTCACAGCCCATAGGATCCAAAAGCTGAGAGGGCCAAGGACAGCGAAGAGGAAACCGCAGATGCTGCAAACAAGAACAACCCCGCGGTGTTCCTCCTCTTCCATCCTCCCCCTCTGCAATCACCTTCTGGAAGCTGATATCATGTATACAGGCTCAAACAAACCTGCTAAAAGGTAGAACATACAAGGTCCAATGATCAAAAGACCAAATATACATAAATGACACTAAGTATGCAGGCAACCAGATTAGTAGTAATTACTAAGTTAATTAAGACAAACTACGTTGAGTTCAACGCATATGGTAATATTTTCTCAAAATATTGGCCTAAATCAGTCCACTACAATTTACATGTAACAGATCAATATATATTCTATATACAACAAACACCCCCAAAGTCCCAATGTGGACATGGCTTTGGGGTTTTCCTTACCAAACCTAAGCACCGAGGATGAGAAACTTAAGCTTAATGCATTTTAATGAAGCCACCAGCCTGGGTGCGGCTAACAACTAAAAACTTCACTACCTAAAAAGGGTTATTCTGTGCATCACCCAGGTGCTATAGCCCTCTAAATATGGTATAGATAAAAAAGAAATCCCATGTATTTGTTCTTTATGCATACAACACTACAGATTAAGCCCTTCAAATGGATAACCAATAAACTAAACAAGTTGATTGAAAAGCACCAGCCTGCCAGCTGGAGTTAAACCATTCAGCCAGGGTGCTAAATCTACAGCAAATTTGGTGGTAACCCGATAAAGGTTCACTAGTTAAAATTTATTGAGGTACCTCGAGTTCAATAATTGAACCAAATATTTTCAGGGCCACAGAAAATATACCACAATCAGATTTTTAGCACGAATCGCTAAAAATTAAAGAATAAGGAACATTAATATCACCTGCCCCAACATTTACACTACACGTTAACGGATATTAAATAACTGCATTCTGAGGCTTCAATTATCTAGGAGACCATTTTGCCACGTAAAACATACTAAATCCGACCGTTCCTAGACCGTTTTATGCCCAGCCTTATCCCAAACATGAAGTAAGTTCCAAAGGTTGAGATTAAACCATCCAGAATGCATGCTACTGGGTCAGGACAGATCCAACCTTCATTGCCCGTCATAACCATCAAATCTCTATGCCCAGAATATCGCGAGCTGTACAAACACACTAAATTTCACCAAGCCGTTTGCTGCATGCCCTCCCAAAAGGCCACCAAATCTGTCACCGCGCGCCAATACAATCCTCCTAAGCAAGCGGCCTAATATAGGCTAGAGGACGAGCAGCCATCGCGACCTATAAGCCAAATCCCACTAAAACCTCAACCATCTTCCGCCCCCGCAGCACTCCAAACACGCCAGAAAGAACATCTCCTCAGAAATCCGCACCTCCCAGCAGCCAGTCCAACCGTCGGAGGCAGCAGCCTCCGCGCGCACAGGAAGCGCACCCCCACAATTCCACCAACCCCCCGCAATGCGGCGGCCCCGGAGCCCGCAATTCCCGCGAGGAGCGCCCCCGACAGCACGCCAGCCCCGCCAGATCCGGGGCGCCCCGCCGCGGAAGCCCCCGAATTTCCGCGCGAAAACCCTAGCCCCGCGGCCGCAGAAGCAGAAACAGCAGCAGCAACGGGGCGGCGGTTACCTCAGCTTAGGCGCCGCGGCCCCCCGGCGGCGGCGGGCGGGGCGGGCCTCCTCGCCGGCGACCGAAACCCTAGGGTACGGCCTCTCCCCACTTTTTTCTCTCTCCTCCTCCTCCCTCTCTCCCTCCCCTCTCTCTCTCTCTCTCTCTCCCCTCACGGGATGGCTTCGATTCGATTCTTCTCCGTGCGCTTGCTCGCGAGCGAGACCTGTGTCGTGAGCGAGCGGAGAGGGGGGGAGAGAGAGAGCAAGCGCAGCGCGGCGGGGTGGGGGAGACAAAGAGTGACGTTTGTCAACTTGGGTGGGCTGCGTGCTGACTGGTGTTTGGTTGGTGCGGTGCGGTGCGGTGCGTGTGCGTGTGCGCGAGCGTCCGCCTGCGCGACTGACCGCTCTCGCTTCGGCCTCGGCGCGAGCGAGACTTGGGCTCTGCTCCGACCGAGCGCGCGCGTCCGCGTCTCCGCGACCGAGGGGGAGAGTCCACTCCACTCCACACAACCGCGAGCTAGACGCGGAGCCAGCAAAGCCAGCCAGACCAGCGAGGCGCGCCGTTTCCCGTGCGATAACGTGCGGCTTTTCAGCGTGTTTGCTAGTGCGAAAGGCCGTATTTTGCTGCGATTTCCGCGCGCGTACTCGCAGTGTCTTTCTGGACTCACTGTATCTTGTGACTTTTTAACCGGGAGTGTAGTACTTTGTATGGATGGCAGTTTGTATCCTAATGAAAGAAGATACGTAAAGAGAGTGGACATGATGAAAGTCATATACGAAGTACTTGACGTGAGATGTAACAAAATACGATAGTTTCCTAGCGTAAGAAATTTTGGAAGACTTTGAAGGATTGGACCGAGAGGAATAAACGGTGTACTCTCTCTGTTCCATAAAAAAACTAACTTAATACTATATGTGACATATTCTACTACGAATCTAGACATACATCTGTACAGATTCATTGTATTATAATGTGTCGCATCTAGTTCTAGATTCGTTTTTTGTGGGACTGACGGAGTATCTTTTCACTATCTTTGTTAATATAAGATTATATACAAAACGTGGGGCCATCTAGCAATATATGGCGGGAATGACAAGAAACATAGTGGATATGCTACATGATCAGGAGTGAGAGTAATTCTATGTGTTCACCATGTTGCTCCGTAAATAGGTTATTAAGAAAGTGGTAGGACAGATAAAAGGTAACTAGCTAAGCGTGATAGTTTTTTTCACCGTACATTATGTTTTGGATCATACGCTAGAGTTTAATACTTATTTTCTTGTGCATAACTAAAAGACATAACGGTAACTCTAACTAGGGGCTTTCTCCATCCAGGATGATATTATTAGTCATTTAAGCTCAATTGGCAGTCTATGGTAAAATTTATCGCTGAAGCGATTCCATTGAGGTTTATCACAAGTTTGTCCCTATGTATTCCGGGTGTTATTGTTTACTATATCAACTTTTCTGTACACGAAGTGCATGCATGGCTCGCGTTCGACTCAGTTACTTCAGTGCTTCGTCTATTGCACCTGTCTTGGGACATAGTGGTTATGTTCACGCACATGTATACTCATAAAGAGAATTTAAGCGGGAGTATACATGTCCCAAGTTGTGTTAAGGGTTTCAATTGAGAGTAGAACCAATAAACCATAGTTTCTGACTCAATGTACAAGGCTAATGATGAGGAGATCCATATTAACAACTCCATGGTCGTAGTCATGAATTCCATGTATGAGGTCGACAATTAAGGCTTCATGGCCGCTGACTCATTGGGAGAGGCCAACGAAAAAGTGCCCGTGGTTGCCGACTCCATGATACATGCATTAATCCAGCTGAGAGCAATTTGGTGTTGGCTTAGATGACACGCTCGACAGTATTTAATAGGAGTCGTAGAATAGGAAATAGGAATCTCAATAATTTATTGCTTGTGAGGACATATCTAAAACGACCAATGATATCAATCCAAAGGGAGTATAAAATTAAGGTGGCGATATGTATATACGACGGTCTAGGGTAAAATTAACGAGTGATCCGTGACTATACATACTATAATAGTTGCCATGGACAACATTTTCAAAATTCACCAAAATCATCCATTAGGACCTGTTGGTAGAGGTCATGATGACATATCATTATAATCTAATCTACACTCTGGTTGATCTTCAGTTGCTTTCATATCAAAAAGTATAAAATGGATTCGACTTTGTACGAAAGTTCAAAAGAAAAGCACCATGTTAACATACGCAATCAAGAAGCTTAGGGACGTCCTTCCTCTATATATCCATTCCGTTTAAGAAAAATATGCTTCATTCATCCTTCATTTATCCAAAAATATATGTATTACATTAACATAGTCTTAAGACTTCAATTCTGACCACCAATTTCCATGATAATAAAATAATAGTACTGCCGTGAAAGTGCAACAACTAATGAAATCATAACGTCATGGAGTATCTTTCAGACAAACATACACACGTCGTTAAATGAATCCAATCTAAAACATAAAAAAGGTATCGACCTAGGAATGTTTTTCACAACTGACAGGAAATTATTAACATTTTACCATACACAGTAAGTAATACAGTAAGTAAAATCTCAAACAAGTTCATCAGATAGGTTTTCCCTGAATTCCTGATACCTAGGCAAATAGCCCAAGAGAAAGAAGAACGCCCGGCTAGCATGGGCCGGGCCGTAGCATTGGTTGATTGCAGCCATCTTCTCGTGGCAGTTACGAGCAAACCTTGTTGCCTGCCTGGGTTCTGAATCCTTTGACAGGCCGTCGTCCTACTGTCCGACCGTACTCCCTCCGTTATAGATTTTGAGTTTTTACTTGCACTGTTTGAACATTCGTCTTATTGAAAAAAATTAAAATTATTATTTATTTTCTTTGTGACTTACTTTATTATCCAAAGTACTTTAAGCACAACTTTTCATTTTTTATATTTACATAATTTTTTTGAATAAGACGAGTGGTGAAACATTGTAAGTAAAAACTTAAAATCTCTTATATTATGGGACGGAGGGAGTAATTCCGTAAACACAACACCTTGCCGTAGATTGTACTATACTGCTCCAGTAATAATGCTTACCACTACTCCTACCATGAAAACCAACTGCCTGGAGAGCCTGGACTTCTGCTCAAGAAGTGAAATCCTTTACAATGTTAGCTTCAGCTGTTGCCGACTCGCTGTCATTTGTCAACTACCGCCGCCTTCTGGTCACCCTGGACTTCTACTACACTGATTTTGATAGCAACACCGCACGTCCCATTTCGAGGTTGATATCTTTCGTACCTGCAGAATCAGCCGCGATAGAAGCCAACTCGGCGATGCTTCTGCTGCCGCCGCCGCCGAACGATGATTGTAGCGTGGAATTAGACTGGCAGAGTGGCAAATGTAGCGAGAGATGTGGCCGTGGATAGATAGGCTGTGTTTAGTTCACACTGAAGTTTGGAAGTTTGGTTGAAATTGGAATGATGTGATTAAAAAATTATGTGTGTATAAAAGGTTCGATGTGATAAAAAGTTAGAAGTTTGGAAAAAAACTTTGGAACTAAACAGAGCCATAGATAGCTGGTTGGTACTTGGTAGCAGTGGTCTGGTACGTACACGGACAATTCTTCTGCCGTCCATGTGGTGGGTAGGCGTACATCCTTTATTGTGATCACCAACCGTGCCATGCACGCACACCTAACATTCCGGCACAGGTCTGTCTGAAAATGTAATCACTGCTAAACCAGCTTAATTATCACAGCGGAGAGGGGTCGCCAGCCCACCACAACTTGATTATGTTATTAATCACTAGTGCTGTCCACAGATGATCTCCACTAATTAGCTCTCTTATATATCTCACAGAGATTTTTTTTAAAAAAAAACAGAGTCAATAACTGAAGACATGTTTCCTTCAAAAAAAAAGGAGAGAACTGAAGAAATGAACTTTGGTATAGAACATCCATAAGTTTGTATCAAGAACTGAATGTATAATTTATCCATTAATCAGTGTACAAAGAAGGGGGGCTGAAATCTAAGAACTTCTAATGGTAACATGAAGAACAGAAGGATTTCAAAGAACATTTACGATTACAGACTCTACCACATTGACATACATGTGTGATCCTCTTGGAAGCTTGGAGCTTGGATGTGTAGTAGGCTGGAACAACCTGGGAAGCCGAGGCGGCGGCGATCTCCAGTTCATGGCTCCGGCGGTGGCAGCTCGGCGGCGGGCGCCACCTCCTCCACCACGGGCGGCGGGGGCTTGGCCTCCCGCCGCCTGGCGACCCGGCGAGGCGGCGGCGACCCCCAGCAGCACCACCGGCAAGCCAGCGTGGCGCAGTCGTACCGCTCGTCGGGCCCGTCGGCGTGGCGCGCGCACACCCGGCCGAGGACGCAGGACAGCAGGGTGAGCACCAGCACCGCCGCGAGCACGGCGAAGAACGTGCCGATGGACCCCCCGCCGCCGTGGCCCCGCGCCGCCGCCCCCTCGGCGGCGGCGGTGACGGAGCCCTGGTAGTCCGGCTGCAGCGGCGCCGCGAACGTCGCGATCGCCGGAGGCGGAGGCGGCATCGACGACGGCATGGCAGTGGCCGCCATTCTTGCATCCAGTGGGGGGGTGTGATCGATGGAATGGACCAGCTGAGTGGGATCGTCGTGGAGTTGGGGAGGAGACGATCAGAATTCAGACGAGCATAGCATGGGATGGGATGGGAGCAGGAATGGAATATTGAGAGGTTTCGTCGAAAGCGTCAGCTCGCTTTGCAAAACTACTACTACTACTCCACGATGGTGATGTGTCGAAGGATCAGAGGAGGATAGGTGCAGAAAAGTTCAGAAAAAAAAAAGAGGGAGAGCAAACAGCAAAGTCTGCATTTCTGAAACTGCAAGGATGGCTTTTGTTTGGATCGAGTGGAGGACTACATGGAAAGGGAACAAAAGTGTGATGGCTGGTAGTCATACTATCCGTGGAAAATTCAGGAAGATGCAAGGGGTTGCGAATTAACCTTGAGAAATGTATACATCAGGGACTTTACTGGTGTTGTTTGATTAACATGCAAGGTGGTTTCCCATGAAACATTTCCAACTTTACGTTTGTCTTTGTGACTTTGTCCAGGCACAGGGTAGATGCAGTTATTTCTACCATTTGTTCCATACTCTCGCCCTTTTCCGTTTCTACTTTCTGCTGTTGTTAATTATGGATGAACGTCAACTTTTTCTTCCTTGAGTCGATGATGTGCTGCGCCAGTCGCAAATACTGCCGATCAAGCCCAAGCAAATCCTACTTTAAGGAGGCCCAAAGGAATTGGCCTGAAAGTTTAAATTGGGTCTAAACATGGCCCAAACCAACATAAAAACTGGACGCTGCTGGGCCTCGCCCCACATTCTCGAGGCCCTTGCACTCTTGCAGGCATGCACAGCCTTATTTATCCAGGCCAGCTGTAAATCCTTAAAATTGAGCTTCAGATTTCGCCATGAATCAGAGATGTTTCGCGTAATCAGAACTAGCTGGGTGGCCCGCTCACTTGCGCGGCTAGCACCTAAACAAAATCATATATTTTTTAAGTATGATTTTACTTTAAATTTATTAAATAGTTATCCCCGTATCATCCCCGTATTTCTAATTATATAGTTTTTAAAAGTCACATCAGCTGCTACCCCTTACTTCTGTCATATCCTTCTTTATTTGCTTGCTCGGTCTACCACTATTTCTATTCATTCTCCTTGAAACCTTTAAAAATTGGATCTGTTTTTTGAGTTTATTATTTCGTTGGGTTTCGTTTTTATAATTTCTGGAAGTCTCGTCAAACGCTGCCATTATACTCCTCTATGGCCCGTCCACTGTCTTTTCTCTTTATTGTCATTGGGATTTTACAAATCGAACATAATTATCGTTCGAGTTCATTTTTTTTACTTTTTATAAGTCCCGCCAAACCGTCAGCGTTTTTGCCATTGTACTTTTTATGGCTCGCCCGCTGTCTTCTTTTTTTATTTTCATTAAGATTTTAAAATCGAACATGATTATCATTGTTTTTTTACTTTTTAGAAGTTTCGTATCTTTAAAAATTGGACCCTGTAGTTTTTAAAATTTATTGTCTTGTTGGGTTTTATTTTTTATAATTTTTAGAAGTCACGTCAAACGATGCCACTATACTCCTCTACGACCCATCCGACGCCTACTCTTTATTGTCATTGGGATTCGAAAAATCGAACATAAGTATCGTTGGAATTCTTTTTTATTTTCTAGAAATCCCGCCAACCGTTGGCGGCTCTGCAACTATACTCCTATACATCCTGCCTGCTGCTTCTCCTTTTTATTATCATTGAGATTTTAAAAATCGAATATAATTATCAATGGGGTTTATTTTTTTTACTTTCTAAAAGTCCCGGCAACCGCCTTACCCGTTTGCTTCACGGCCTACCGATGGTTGGTGGGACTTCTTGAAAGTAAAATATGAATTCCAACGATAGTTTTGTTCAATTATTAAAATGCTAATGACAATAAAGATTAAGCGACGGATGGGTCATAGAGGAGTATATTGGCAGCATTTGACGGGATTTCTAAAGATTCTATTTGGTGTATTACTAACAGTTTTTATATGTCGAATCAACCGCCACCACTCTACTCTTTTATAGGCTTGTTATTTAATTTATCTCACCGTGTGTTTTAGATGGTCTCTTTTTTAATAATCTTTATTTTTATCACCAGTTTTAGTTATTTATAAATTGTATTCTATTTTAAATCTTTTTTCTTTTTCTTTTTCTAATTTCAGAATTTTTTTTAAAAAATATTTAATACCGTATAGTGTTCTTTTAATATTTTTATTTTTCATTTTTGAATTTTAGTTGTTTCAAAATTGTATTCCTACTTGAACTCTCTTTTAATTTTTCTAATTTTGGATATTATTTTATTTTTTATTCTGAATTTTAATTAATCTCAGATGGGGTTCTTATATGGATTCTTCTTTAAATATTGCTTTTTTTTAATTCTGAATTTTAGTTGATTTTAAATTGTATTCCTACTTGAACTCTTCTTTTATTTTTTCTATTTTTGGATTTTATTTTTATTTTTATTTCGAATATTAACTAATCTCGTATTGGGTTATTATATGGACTCTTTTATCAATATTCCTTATTTTTAATTTCTAATTTCAGTTATTTTTAAATTATATTCCTACTTGGACTCTCGTTTTATTTCCTAATTTCGTATTTTATTTTATTTTTATTTCGAATTTCGATTAATCTCGTATTGGGTTTTTATATGGACACTTCTTTCAATATTGCTTTATTTTAATTCCGAATTTCAGCTATTTTTGAATTGAATTTCTACTTGGACTCTTCTTTTCTTTTTCTCTGATTAATGTGGGAATTTATAGCCCTACAGCGAACGTAGTGCCTTAGCATCATTATATTTTCTCTCATATAATAACATATATGTTTTCTCAATGTATTATTCAAATATATTAAAATGACAATATAATTTTAAATTTCTAAATTGTATTTCTATATGGACTCTGTTTTTATTTTTCTCCGATTAATATGAGAATTTCGCGCAATTACGCGGCTAGCACCCAAACAAAATCATATATTTTTTTAGTATGATTTTACTTAAAATTTATTAAATAGCTATCTAGCTATCTCATTGTCTTAAGATTTTGAAAGACCAAACCTTATCATCCTCGTGTTTCTAATTATATAGTTTTCAAAAGTCACACCAGTTGCTACCCCTTATGTCATCTCCTTTTTTATTTGCTTGCTCAATCTATCACTATTTCTATTCATTCTTCTTGGAACCTTTAAATTTGGATTTTATAGTTTTTAGAGTTTATTGTCATGTTGGGTTTCATTTTTATAATTTCTAGATGTCCCGTCAAACGTTGCCATTATACTCCTCTACGGCCCGTCCATTGTCTCTTCTCTTTGTTGTCATTGAGATTTTAAAAATCGAACATAATTATCGTTTGGGTTCATTTTTTACTTTCTAGAAGTCCCGCCAAACCATCAGCGGCTTTGCCATTGTACTCCTCTACAGCTCGCCCGCTGTCTCCCTTCTTTATTGTTATTGAGATTTTAAAATCGAACATGATTATCATTTGCTTTTTTTTACTTTTTAGAAGTTTCAAATCTTTAAAAATTGGACTTGCAGTTTAATTTTTTATAATTTTTAGAAGTCCCATCAAACGATGCCACTATGCCCCTCTACAGCCCGTCTGCCGCCAAATCTTTATTGTCATTGTGATTCTAAAAATCGAACATAACTATCGTTGGAATTCATTTCTTATTTTCTAGAAGTCCCGTCAACCGTCGGCGGCTCTGCAATTATACTCTTATACACCCCGCCCGCTGCTTCTACTTTTTATTGTCATTGAGATTTTAAAAATTGAATATGATTATCAATGGGGTTTTTTTTTACTTTCTAGAAGTCCCGGCAACCGCTTTCCACGTTTGCTTCACGGCCTGCTTGACGTCCCTCCTTTTAATCGTCATTAGGATTCTATTTTGGTGATTTATTAACAATTTTTATATCTCGTATCAACCACTACCACTCTACTCCTTTATAGCTATGTTACTTAATTTATCTCGTCATGTGTTTTAGATGGTATTTTCTTTCAATAATCTTTATTTTTATCACAAATTTTAGTTATTTATAAATTGTATTCCAAATTGAAATCTTAATTTTCTTTTTCTAATTTCAGATTTTTTTTTAAAAAAAATAGTTAATATCGTATTGTGTTATTATAATGTTTTTATTTTTTATTTTCAATTTCAGTTGTTTCAAAATTGTATTTCTGTTTGAACTCTCTTTTAATTTTTCTAGTTTTAGATATTATTTTATTTTTATTCTAAATTTTAATTAATCTCGTATTGGGTTCTTATATGGATTCTTCTTTCAATATTGCTTATTTTTACTTCCGAATTTCAGCTAATTTTATATTGTATTCCTACTTGAACTCTTATTTTTTTATTTTCTTTTGCCAATTTTGGATTTATTTATTTTTATTCTGAATTTTAATTAATCTCGTATTGGGTTCTTATATGGACTATTCTTTTAATATTCCTTATTTTTAATTTCGAATTTCAGCTATTTTTAAATTGTATTCCTACTTGGACTCTCATTTCCTTTTCTAATTTTGGATTTTAATTTATTTTTATTTCAATTTTTGATTAATCTTGTATTGGGTTCTTATATGAAAATTTATTTCAATATTCCTTATTTTTAATTCCGAATTTCAGTTATTTTTAAATTGTATTTCTACTTGGACTCTCATTTCCTTTTTTAATTTTGGATTTTTATTTTATTGTTATTTCGAATTTTGATTAATCTCGTATTGGGTTCTTATATGGAAACTTCTTTCAATATTGCTTATTTTTAATTCCGAATTTCAGCTATTTTTAAATTGTACTTCTACTTGGACTCTTCTTTTTCTTTTTTTTTTCTTTTTTTTCCGATTAATGTGGGAATTTCTAACCCTCACAGCGAACGTGGTGTCTCCTTTCAAAGCTGTTTTAATAATATAATAGATAGATAGATATGGACGCTCAGCTGTTCAGTTTGCCTGGACAATGCCTTATGCTTTTCTATTTTCTGTTTAAAACAGGTTTGAACAAAATTAAAAAGAAAAAAGTTGATCTCTCCCCCACGCAACCACATCATATGGTCCATAATGTTTATATCATTGGCTAATTTTTAGTCTAACAGCAGCTTTCAAACCGCATTCTTTTTTATTTGACTATGTTGTACTACTTTATCCAAGCCTCAGCTGATGAAGAGGTTCAGAGAGATATTTAATTATTTACACTCTTTAATTATTCCATATCTTATAAACAACGAGTGGTAAATAGTTAAACATGATATCTTAAAAGTAGTAAATAGTTAAATGTTTAGGAATTAAAAGAGAGAAACCGGTTTACGGGCCGTCATACCATTACCAGCAGAAAACGCTCGTTAAGATTCACGGGAAATGCGTGGCTTTACCTGACGCGTGCGTGGCTTCCGTGCATGCCTTATTAGCTCCAAAGACCAAAACTTCAGTACAAGAAACGCCAATCTAGGCTAGCTGTTAGTTGCCTGTTTAAGGGAGATGAGCAATGAGTTGGCTTGAAAGAATCAACGAGATCGATCCGTCAAGCCACTCGAGCTTCTCAAGCAACCTAAACTAACACCTCCGTCTCACTCCTCCAGGCACGCTAGCCACGATGCAGTTAGGCATGGGCTAGCTATAGCTAATAGCTAAGCTCGATCGATCTCTTCTTCTCCTCCTCCTCCTATCCACTGTCCAAAAGACGGTGATCGATCTGTCTCCGACTGCCGCCGCCGATGTCGTCGTCGTCGTGCGCGGCGGGCGCCGAGGCCACCGGGCTGGTGGCCATGGACTGCCTGGTGGTGTGCTGCTGCTGCCCGTGCCTGGTGCTGCAGATCACCGTGTTCCTCTTCGTCAGGCTGCCCAAGAAGGTGGTTGTCAAGTCCAAGAGGATCATCCTCCGGAGATGGCACGGGAGAAGATCATCATCATCGGCGGCGGCGGCGGCGGCCAAGAGAGGCTGCAGCACGGTCGACCCGGCTGCAGGCGTGAAGAAACAGCTGGAGGAGCTATTTGACGACGACGATCTATTCCAAGGCGCATTCGGCGGCGGGATCAACGGAGGCGGCGGCGACGACGAGGAGGGGTGGTGGAAAGAGAGGTGCTTCGCCGTCGACGACGACGACGGCGGCGTGTGGGAGGCGCTGATCGAGCAAGAGGGGCTCTTCTGGTTCGGGAGCTTCTGGGGCCGGACGACGGAGCAGGTGGATCGTCCGGATCAGTTTGGAGACGACGAACATGCCCACCCAGCCTTGAGGTTTCCTCTCGTTCTCGAGAGAGTTTGTGACTAAATTAGCTAGAGTACTTAATTTATCAATGCAAGCTTAATTAGGGACAGTCGCAACATAATTCAGGCGTTGAGCTCGGTTTCTGGCTGATGATTGCTCATTGAGTTCTTAATCAATTACATCCTGTTCCGGCCATTTCCATTTGCATCGCTCTTCAGTGGACAACTAACAAATCACAAATGTACATGTCACAATATTAACTTCAGAGTCGAGAAGGGACAATGAATAAAAAACACACGGCATTAAGTCTGTAACACAGACGCTGACGGAGCCATTTTCTCTGCTGGCCTGCATGCATGCTCACCCTGCACCTGCAGCGTCCACTTGGTCTGTATATTTTCAGAGGACTTTGAATCTCCAGACGGAAGTGTATTTACAACTTCGCGCACACTTAACAAATCACAAATGTACATATCACGATATTACCAATATCATATATGACATGTATGATTAAACATATCACTTCACAGACATAATACATAGAATGTAAAGTTCAATCTACACAATACTCCAAAATACACAAATTTGGCTATGAACAATAATGTTGATTGAATCTATTTATGTTCTTTTTTGGCTGTGTGGATTGAATCTGTATGTTTACGGTGTTCACATTCTAAAAAAAAGAGTAAAAAATCAATTGTAGTGAATGACATGTATAGAATTAAAGCATTGGTACAGGTACCAAGGATAAAAATATGATTTTGCTAGTAGAGAAAAAAAAGAACATAACGGTCCCTAAATTTAAATCGGTATACCGCGTAGGTACTAGTTAAGTCGTTTGTCTGGTATTGGCGTACATGTTCTTATTTGCGTCATTTCCCCTAGATATACGTCACGTTCTCTAAGATTCTCATTCACATGGTTTCCTATATATTTTTGTTTTATTCCAAATAACACGTTACTAGTGTAAAAGTTCTCGTTTGTATGGTTTTCTTTATATTTGTGTTTTGTTCCCAAGAACGCGTCAAAACTCCTCTTTTTAATTATTCGTGTCACTTAGATCTTGCCATAGCTTCTACCATGTCTCCTTGCGGGTGCACCTGTCCAAAATGTAGAAGAAAAACATAGAAGGATATCTCATTCCAGTCCCTTATACAACAAAATTTATGAACTATATGTAAATAACTAATCAACTACATAAAATAAATCTTATTTGATAAGATTCGCTTAGCCATTAACCGTTCGATCTCGTCCCATGTTGAATCCTCAACCATGTAGTGCTTTTCCCTTTGTTTCATTCCAGTGAACCACTTTCAACCCTATAACAAGAACAAACCGAAAAGATAGAAGAAATAAGACAACCTATTTTTCCCCATAAGATCTATTCAATGCCCAAATTAAACGCATGATTTACATTTTTTCCACCAAATGCTACCGAGCAATGCAACCAGGTATTCGATTCACTCAAAATGCCCATATTTTATATAGTTAATTACTCAACTACCATGATTTTTATTCTATATCTTACCACTTTTTTGATCCATGGTCCATACTGTTTTACCTCTCAATACCTCTAAGTAGCTCGCAGGTATCATAAAAGCTCTTGTTGTATAAATTTTTTATTTTGTATAACCTTTTGATAAAAGCTCTCGTTGTATCAATGGTATCACGGTTTTTATTTTGTACAAACCTTTTGATTGATACTCCTCCGAGAAGCAAACGAGTACGCATGCACTTGGAGTTATAGAAGCCCATTCCCCAAATCCAGTCACCGATCCGTTAGGTTCCGTGTTAGCTAGCTCCCAGAGCGTGCCGGCGACATATGTATCGCTGCCGACCGCCGTGCACACAGAATCCATCCAGTCGGTGCGCGGTGCGCCGTGTCTCGGTCGACAAGCGACACCGGACAACGACCTCAGCTCCACGCACACGCACGTGATGATTGGATTTTGGATCGTATACGTACCCCACGCATTACGCCAATATAGGCTCGCGTAACAACATCAAACACGCCCGCGTCCGTCACGCTTTGGTCCCCTCCGCAACCAGCCGCCGCCTCTGCAAGGCTTCGTCCGCGGGGGACGCTGGTGAGCTGGTCTGCGCAGCTCACGCGCCGCGCGCGCGCGAGCGAAAACAACGCCGCCGTGTGTCGCGACTCGCGACGAGCCGACGACGGCGACTACAACGCCCAGGCGACCAGCGGCGCGGTGACGGGCCACTCCTAAACGCGAGCGTCGTGAGTGGGTCGACGTCGACCCGACTCCCTGGCACGAATCTCGAGGCGGTCGCGCGCGTGGGCCCCGCGAATCTCGTTCCTACTCCTCTCCTCTCCTCTCCTCTCCGTCTCGCTTGGCCCTCCGTGGTGACACGAGCCGTGGCCACCTGAAAAACACACTCCGCCCGCGCCGCACCTCCTCGTTGATGGATTTCAGCGTCCGAGCTCGCATCCAGAGCCCGCACCGGTCGGCCGCCCACTTCGTCGCCGGCGAGGGGGGACGCCGCCGCCCGGCAACGTCCAGGGTATCCTTCCGCTCCATGGCGTCGGCCGCTTCCGTGGAGGAGCCTGCCGCTGCTGCGGCGGCGGCGGCTGAGACGAAGAGGGGACCGAGCGGCGCCTCCTTCATCCGGGAACACCTCAGGAGTCTCGCCCCGTACCAGCCCATCCTGCCCTTCGAGGTAGGAGCAGCACTCTTTCCCACTGGTGGTTGAGTTTGTGGAGAACGCTGCACCGTTTCCCGTGCCGCGCGAGGTGTTTGTGGAAATTCCCCCGAGGCCCCCGAGGCTGTTTGGTTCTGTATTGTGAAAGACAGCAGTAAAGCTTAGATTACTGAGCTTATATAGGAGTAGTATTACCAAGCTTACTGTTGGTTTTGTGATGCGCCACTTTTATAGTGGTTTTGCTGTTATCTGAAATTTAGAACTCTCCTTGCTAGGTGTTGTCCGCTCGGCTTGGGCGTAAACCAGAGGATATAATCAAGTTGGATGCAAATGAAAATCCATATGGTCCACCTCCGGAGGTGAGTTTCTTGTAATACCCAAACAAGAGTAGCATCTACCTCTAATACTTGAAACAATACATTCTTAAGAAACAGTAGTTTGACCATGTCAACATGAACCATGTGTTATAAGAAATTAAGAATGAATCCTAATAATTCAAATTCAAAATAGTACTAGCATATTATAAATCAATTCAAAGTGGCATATTAGAAACACTAGCTATCTTTGAACTTCCAACAGAAAATTTAACAGATCTTTGTATGAGCATACGAAGGGCTGGATTCTCATTGTACATAATTTATACCTTCTCTCCATCTAATGCATATCTCTTTTATACAGGTAGCTAAAGCATTAGGAAATTTGAAGTTTCCCTATGTGTACCCTGATCCTGAAAGCCGTCAGTTGCGTGCTGCTCTTGCTGAAGATTCTGGTCTTGAATCTGAGTACATACTTGCTGGATGTGGTGCAGATGAATTAATTGATTTAATAATGAGGTTAGCATGTAGCTTGTTTTATACCTGCTTTTTGCACGAGATTTTTGTATCCGAGTTGAGTAATAGCCTAGTTTTTTTTTTAATAAAAAAGTAATAGCCTAGTTTGAATGGTGAAAATGCAGATGTGTACTCGAACCAGGTGACAAAATTGTTGATTGCCCTCCAACTTTTACGATGTATGAGTTTGATGCGTCAGTCAATGGTGCACTTGTGATCAAGGGTAGGTAGTTCTTTCTTGAGCTGTACTTCTATTTACTGAGCCTTCTGTAATGTCTTAATTCGGTGTTCACTTCTTATACTGTTTGACATGCCAGTTACCACCCTCTAATGTAATCCTGATTTGAACTCTTATGTAGTACCGAGACTTCCTGATTTTTCTCTAGACGTTGCACAGATTGTCAAAGTGGTTGAACAGGAAAAGCCAAAATCCATATTTCTGACATCTCCGAACAACCCAGATGGCAGGTACACCTTTCTCATGCGAGAATGGGGCTGTTTTGGTTGTATGTTGTCCAGATTCTGTATCTTAGTATTTCGCTGAATTACCTCAATTCTATTTTTCAGCATAATCAATGATGAGGATCTTTTAAAGATCCTTGATCTTCCAATACTTGTAGTGCTGGATGAAGCATATATTGAGTTTTCGAGTCTTCAAACAAGGATGTCATGGGTTAAGAAGCATGATAATTTGATTGTTCTTCGGACATTTAGCAAACGAGCAGGTCTGTAGTTTCTGTTTGCCTTTTTCTTCTCTGGTCTGCACCGGGCTATATCCTCTGAAAAATCCAAAAACCTCACCCGTTTTCTCATAGTACTGCATGGAAATCACTTATCTGTACTAGAATTTCTATTTTTCGTTAGATAATTTTTTTTAGTGCTGCTGCATTATTATGTGATGTCCAGACATTGCTAAGGGAGCATTTAATAAAATAATCAATTCTTCTTATGTTGCCAACTCATTTTACTGAATCATGCTAATTTTTAGTAGTTACTAGCATGGCTTTGTCTAGCTGATTCATTGAAGGCATTTTTGCCACACAATTATGAACCAAAAATGACACCTCATTACAAATTATTGATAATGCAGGTTTAGCTGGACTTCGTGTGGGTTACGGAGCATTTCCTCTAAGCATAATCGAGTATTTATGGAGGGCTAAGCAGCCCTATAATGTTTCTGTAGCAGCAGAAGTTTCAGCCTGTGCTGCCTTGCAGAACCCGACTTATTTAGAGGTATGTGCTCTGGAAACATATCATAAATAAATTTTTGTTTAGTAATTTGGCATCTGCTAACTTTGTGCTTCTGTTGAACATTTCATTACTGAAGGAAGTGAAAAATCTGCTACTACAAGAGAGGGACAGGCTGTACGATCTTCTCAAAGAAATACCATTCCTAAAGCCATTTCCCAGCCACTCTAACTTTATTCTCTGCGAGGTCACATCAGGCAAAGATGCAAAGAAAATAAAGGTTTGCACTGCTTGTTAGTACTCCCTCCATTTCTTTTTGTTTGAAGTTGGTTAGTTTGAAATTGAACTAACCAACATCATACGTTTACAGAGGTAGTATATGTTACTCCCTTCGTCCCAGAATAGAAACATTTTTAGCATAGTGTCAAGTCAACCATTCTTAATTTTGACTATTAATAGCAAAAAAATAAAAAAAAGATCAATAATGTAAAATTGATGTTGCTAGATTTATCATTGATCAAACTATCATAATATGTAACTCTTTTTATATTTAAAACATTTTATTTTGATAGATATTATTGGTTAAAGTAGCATCTCGAAGACTGTGTCGAGATCCAAAAATGCTTATATTTTGGGATGGAGTACAAGTTTCTGCTGTATTTTGTTGTGGTACAATGTAATAACTGCTTCTGTTGTTATATTCTTAGGTGGTAAAATGTCAACCTGGAAGTCAAAATATAGTTATTGTGTCTAAGACCATTACTATTCATACTTTGAAAGGAAATGCTGATGATTTAGTTTCAACAATATAATGCCTGCAGCATCATTCACATAATTTTGTTCAAAAACAATTTTCAGGAAGACCTTGCGAAGATGGGAGTAATGATCCGCCACTATGACAAGAAGGAACTAAAGGGATATATTCGTATTTCAGTGGGCAAGCCAGAGCATACCGATGCACTAATGAAAGGCCTGAAAGCACTTCAACTGTGATCATCCCATCTGTTTGACGGAAGCACTGAAGCACTTGCCCGTGGTAGTGCACTAGATGCAGTCTCTCAATGGAGGTTGCATCAATCTAACACAAATAAGGTGCATCCTCTAGGGTCGATTATGTCTCAATAATACACTCTTCTGTTTTGACCAGTGGCGTTTTGTCCAGCATTTTTGTGTTGGTCGACTTGGGTTTCTTCTCAAGGTGATTGTTCGAAGCAAGAATTTGTACTGCCGTGCCCTGATTGGAATAAATATGAGCGTAAAAGTATGGCAAGTCTACTGGCTAGATTGTTTATGCACCTTCTTTTTAAAAAATAAAAATAAAAATCTTCAGACATTGCAAATCCCATGTGACATCACAAATATGGAGAGTCATGTTCAATTATAATTTTTCAGTGAGGAATTGAAGCACATACTCCCTCCTTCCGAAAATGTTTGACGCTGTTGACTTTACTAAAAATGTTTGACCGTTCGTCTTATTCAAAAAAAAAAATAAGTAATTATTAATTCTTTTTCTATCATTTGATTTATTGTTAAATATACTTTTATGTATATATATATTTTTACACATTTCACACAAATTTACATTTCACAAAAGTTTTTGAATAAGACGAACAATCAAGCATGTTTAAAAAAGTCAACAGTGTCAAACATTTAGGGGAGGAGGGAGTATTAAGCTATTGCCATTATGGTTCGCAACCCGGTAGGCCTGAAAAGGGAGCATCACCGCATCTGATTATCCTTTTCGTGTCCTAGCGAATAGCGAGGCTAAACGCCATCAAAAGGCACAAGTTCTTTCCATGTGAGCAGAAGAAAAAAGTTCGATGCGGCACAACATTTGCCCATACAACACCACAAGCAAAGCAAAGAACCTCCCGGAGGGCTTCATCTAAAGCTTCTTCCATCGCCTTCGTGCAGGCGCACCAGGAGTTCCGCAGTTAACAATTAATATCGAATCCCTTATATAACAATTAATATGTTTAATTTGAAAAAAATAAGGGCAATATCATAAAGTTAGAAAAATAGGAGTAAAATCTCTGCTAAAGTTGAAAACATGGATAAAACATAACCACCACAAATATTTCATAGCTATATTGCATTTTTGAAACACAAAAACTAAATGCAATTACAATACAAATATTCTTAAATATGAGGGTCCACATGACTAAAACCATTGTCGAGGACATATCTCTTTAATACGGGTGAGGGTCCTGTACCATAATATCACAACTGGTATATGGGTCCCACCCTCCTATTGTCCACACGTCAGTGTCTATAATGGTAGTGCCATTATAGTAGAGGATGTGAATCCCCTTACTACATAACGGTTTCAATGGGTCAAAACAACCATAATGACGAAACTGTTCACACATTGTGATTCCTTGTGCATTAGCTCCGCACACTAGGTTACTTTGATGAGAGCTATGTTCGCACAATGTGATTTCAAATGTCCTTTTGTGTTGGTGCCTGTTTTATCTTATGCCTAATCCTATTTCGCCCTTTTGTATGAGATTGAGAGGTTTGCTGCTTTCATCTAGTTGTTTTCACCTATTGGTGTCATATTGTGTTTCCTTTGTAAAAATGGGTAACCCCCATATCATGACTCTTCCGTATGTGGCTTTCAAAAAAAAAAGCCGGGCCGTGAGGCCTTCTCTCTAAAAATACAATGTGATTTCAAGCTACATTCTAAGCCAAAGCTTTTATACCTTTAATATGATACGTATATATACCTTTAATAATCTCGGATACAAAATAAATGTACAAGGCCACACATCATGTATTGTAAATACGATAAGTAGAATACCACAGCTATCAAAATTTATAGGTTGCAGGTTAGTACAAATGACGCATTCCCCGACATTCCATACTTGCTCGTCATGCAGCTTCGTCGAAAAGCCTCCATGGAAATCTCCTCCAAATCTTCGCAAAAGCTTTGCCACTGTGCCTCCATGGAACTGCAAACCTGCGATAGTAGTACAACAAATGCATAATTTATCCACTTCAAGCCCTGGGAAAATCCCATATTACAAAAGGGTCCCTCCCTTCTTTTCGATGCCCATACCGCGGCTTCCCCTCCTCCTCAAGATCGCCGCCGCGACCGCCGCCGGCGCGTTGGCGCTCATTGTCGCGGCGGGGCTCCGGCGGGATGACGCCGTCGCCTCCCTCCGGCGGGAGATACGCGACGCCGTCGCCGCCCTCGTGGCGAGCAACGAGGACGGCGTCGTCGAGGGGGAGGGCGAAGGCGAGGACGCCGCCGAGGCCCCGGCGCCGTCCGTGCTGATCACGGGGTTCCGCGCCCACGGGAAGAGCTCGCTGGTGAACACGGCGTGCCGCGCGCTCGCGGCCGAGGAAGGCCCGCTGCTGCTGCGCGCGGAGGCGTCGCCGCCGGGCGGCGGGTCCGACGGCACGCGGAAGCGGCGGAGGGTGAAGGCGGCGGTGGCCGGGGATAGCGGTGACGCGGGGACGGACGAAGCCGTGGTGGAGCTTCTGGACGCGCCTCCGCTCCCCGAGGCGACGAGGGCCACGAGAGCTGACATCGATGCGGCGATCAGCGGGGGGAACCCGGAGTGCGTGGTGCTGGCGCTGCGCTGCGACGCGCCCGCGAAGGAGCGGAACGCCGCCGTGAAGCGCCTGCCGGAGATCTCCGCCGCCGTGAGGGCGAAAGGTTAGTCTGCTCAGCTTCAAGAAGGTTCTAGAACTCGGCAACTTAGCAACAGTAGCATTGAAGCATTATTCTCAATATCTCATTTACTATGTTAGTAGTATTCCTTTTGCGCGTTTGCGAAAAAAAAAAACTATGTTAGTAGTATAATTTTTCGTAGATATCTCGGATGCTTAGACAATGCTATATTGCTATGTCCTTAGAAGAAAGAAGATGATGCGATTTCGCATCGTCCAATGTAGGATAGTTGTGAATTGTGATTGCTTAAAGAAATAGATGCAATTTTCTACCATGTAGGTAAAAGGCAAGGGATGGTAATTTCTGCAGGTTTGGTTTGTGGACACTTGATGGTTAACTAGATTGTCAGTTTTGAATAGTTTTCTGATAGAGATTTGCTATCATTTGGACTGGTCCCCTGGTGTCATGTTGTCATCTTTATGTTCAGGTGTGACCGTCAGCAGTTACCAAATATTGACTGTTTGATGGAGCTTTTTGTGTTATTAATACACGAGCACAGATGCTGTGCTGATATATGCTAATATGCATATTTTTCGAAACCATGAAGTAGTGCAGTATATTTTGTCTATAATGTCCTGAAAGATAACCCTTTCTGATCCAAACTTGTGTAGTTGTGTTAGAATCAGGGTATTGCAAATGTTCATGGAGATTCCTTTGTTTCTCTCTTTCTTCCACATCTATGAAGACCTTGCTATTACCATATTTTACTCAGCATATGTTAGCAAAGATGAATATATTTGTTGACGAGCACTTGTTAACAGGTCTGAATTTGATTGTTGTATTGACTTTCAAGAAGGCCATGAGATCAGCAAGACAAGCTGAAGAGCTCATACGAGAGGTTTCATTCAGGGCGAGAACAGATTGTGTCTACTTCATCGAGAACTACACCTGGAACAATAATGGTCCCAACCTTCGCCATCCTCCTGTCATCAAGAACGACTTTGAGACACATTTCACGGTTCTGACAATCATTCGACAGTGCCTTGAGTTCATCAAATTAAATAGGAGTCAATCCAAGCGGGAGGAAAATGGTGAGAAGGGTAATTCAGGAGATGTTAAAGGTATACTGGAAAAAGTCTTAACAGCAAATGCTAAATCTTCAGGAGAACTTAGCGTTAAACCTGCACTGGAAAAAGTCTTAACGGCAAATGCTAAATCTTCAGGAGAACTGAGCGTTAAACCTGCAGATGTCAAACCTGTTCTGACTGTTCAATGATTATTACTGAAATGTCAGAGCAATTCGTGCGCACACTCAATCATCACACATTTGCACAGGTATGACTTACTGCAGTACTTTGTATGCGTTGTATGAGGTAGTTTGCTACACTGCACAAAGTGTATGTTCATTCATTCATCCGTTCTGTATGATGTTATATAGGTCTTTTTATTTGGGTGTGTGGCACATAACTGATTTGTTGGTATTGCCATCATCTAGAGACATAATTAAAGAAAGTGCCTAGAAAAAAGCAAAGTGGAAAGCCTCTTGCTATATATCATCGCTGTTTAACATCACTCCATACAACTCTAACTCACCAATATTATATGATAGCATTACATAGGATAACTTTATACATTATAGTCAATTCCACTATAATCAAGTCCCAAGATATACTTATAAATATATAGAGATTTGGACGAAACATGAATAAACCATCAATGTTGGCTCTTCCTTATTCTCTTCAACCGATCAGTTCAGCCTTCAGAAATCCAGGCACCAACAGTAGTAATCTGAACCCGAGAGTGCCAGGAGTTCTTCTGGGCTCATCCTCTCTAGCTCCCTCTGCCTCCAGGCTGGGTAGTTGTTCTGCGTCTCACCTGAACCGGAGGCGTAGTCTCTCGGGTGGGCTTGCGATCTCATCCTAATGTACAGCCTCATCGCTGCCACGCAATCTTCATAGGGATCCTGAATGCCAGTGTGGATATCATACCTGCAATAGGGATTCAAGGATAGTATCTTCAACATTAATAATGCAAAGTCTAAGAGTCTATAGAGATTGTACAGCTGACTTAGCAAGTTTGCATACCCAAGATATGCCTGTGTAAGGTACTTTAGGGAGTTGCTCAGCTTGCTAGTTTTCATCAGTGGTGGGTACTTTGCAGTATCCCTGAAAAAAATGCAGAGATAAATTGTGTCAGCAAGGGAGAAACTGGCAAGGTCTAATTTGCAGCAAATTAATTTGCCTTGTGCTGCTGACCTGATCATGAATGCCGGGTACTCCAGTCCCAGGCGCTCAAGTTCATGCTCCAGGCCATGGCCAACGAGGATCCTTGCCCTCCCAGAGCTCCTTGGCCGTATCTTCCATAGTGGCTCACCGTTGCACAGGATGTCCTGGATCCTCCTCTGCACAAGCTTCAGTGGCATTGCGTCCCTCAAGTACTCCGGCCTTATCCCAGTCATTTCATACCTGAACAGAAACATCATAAATCATCCCCTCATTCATCATCTCATAAAACTATCCATCGATCTATGCCTTTAATTTCTACTGCTAGTTTCTATAGCAGTATGTTTATTGCTCGGTTTTCCATTATGTCTTTTCTGCTTTTCTGGTCCGATAGATCTACACATGCGAACAATGACAGCTAAAAATTGTACTACTAGCTAACACTCAGAAACATCATCAGTAATAAAATAATGGATCATCTCCTATATATTTTACCTGTAGTTTGTGACGGTCGTGGTGGGTTTCACATAGGTCTGGAAGATGACGTTCTCGTCCTCTCCGATCAGGCACACCCTCGCGCAGATGTCGAGCGAGCCATCGCTTCCTCCTCCGACCATCTTACACGCCATGGCCACCGCACGGCCTCCGTAGCTACCCCTGGGCATCTGCATGCAAACGCAAGAAAACCACGGGCAAATTCAGCAACAAGCCTTGCAAACTAGCATGCGCAGTGTAACTGAGGTGAGAGGGGATTACATACCGGGGCGGCGCGGGTGAACTGGCAGGTGGAGGCGCGGTGGTATCTGACGGCGGCGGCGCTGTCGAAGAGGTTGAGGCAGATGCTGCAGCCGCGGGCCGCGAACACGCGCGCGCACTCCACCTTGGGCAACGGCCCTGCATGCGCACGGCGTACGCGAGAAACCGTCAGATACCACGCGAAAACTCCACAAAAACTAGCTCGTTGCATCAACCGAGCAAATTAAAAACGGCTACTTGTGTACTCACCGATGAGGTGCTCGCGGAGGGACTCGAGGGAGCGGCAGTGCTTGGCGCAGACGCCGCAGCGGGGCTCGTGGGCGGAGTGGAACGACACCTTCATGTGCTCCACCAGGTGCTCCATCCGGTTGTACTGCCTGTAGCACGCCGCGCATTTGTTCCTGCGAGATCATCATTTTCATTCATCGATTGAGTTCGATCGCGTCTTTAGAATATCGCGAGCGAGGCACTATGCACGCATTTATGAAATTCTGATTCTTTGCACCGGCAATAGGGGATAAGAAAGTTGAAAAGGTACTCATTCATTCGTGCGCAGAATATGTAGTATCATATATACATGCATATTCAAGGTATTGAATGGAACTAGCTAGGACAAGAAAAAAAAGGGTCCTATATATCTAGCTCGATGTTTAGAGCACGAGAAGAACGTACTACCATGCATGATTAAAGCTTGATTAATTAGCTAGTTCATCACACACCAGTCTTGCATGCTCAGCTCATCTTGCAATACTACTGTAGTAATGGCATTCAGTTTGTGACCATCTTACCTCAGGGTCTCCGAGGACTCCCTCCTGCTGTCCATCATATATAGCACTACTACAACTCCTGCTGATCGAGAATTAAGGTTTCTGTCTCTAGTTGCTCTTACTGATCGGTCGACCAAGGTTTCTGATCGATCAGTTGTCTCCCTGAAACCTCGAGGGGCGCTAGTTAGCTAGGTTGGTGAGGACGGTAGGCAACATGGAGAGGCTATTTATAGAGGCAACAAACGTTGAAAGGATGGAAGAACCTTCACGAGGAAGAAGGAATGACCCCTGGGAATCACCGTCTTGTCGTCACTGCTGCATGCATTCTGAGGAATAAGCCTGCAGTTTATCGTAATCTAGCTAGTTTAGTATGGGATATATGCTTCCTAGTATCTAAGGTTCCTTTCTTGATCTGTCTTTACCTTTTCTTAGGGACACACAGACACCTAGGCTCCTTAAGTAGTTGTCACTCCTAAAACACTTTTAACACGTTGTTTGGAGACTTTAGTTAATGACATGTGTTAAACAGTGCAGCATCAAAACCCAGCCTTCAAACCTTCACGTTGGAAATGCTACATTTGGGACAACATGCTAGCTAGCTAGTGCAAGTGTGTGTAACTCATCAAGGTAAAGCACATATATTTACATTCTGTTGATCGAAAATCGGGGGCAAAGGTAGAAAAGATCTGAAAAATTAACCGCGCAGAATTTTATCTCCCCATCGGTCGAAAGCGGGAAATTCTGGCTGTCGCTACAACGTACTCGTTCACATTCTTTCAGCAACGATATGTAAATTCAGACGCCGATTTTTTCTTTTCCCCGGCCTCTAGTCATCAAGTGTCGACTCGATCGGTCAAGCGACTCATGAAAAATATATAATCTAGGTTCGCTGTTCTGAATCTTGTAAAGACCAAGTTGCGCGACGGCGAGATCAGTTTTCGATCGATCCGCCAAGGTGATCACATCAGGCTGCAGTGTATACGTCGAGTCCGCTTGCAAGCAACGCTGGTCACCTCATCTGTCGATCGGCTATACGTCGATGAGAAGAGGAGGGAGCTGGCCCGTACGTGTGCAACTGTGCATGGAGGAGGAGAGGAAAGCACAGTGGCATTGACCGTGTGCATCAGGTGCAGCTGAGAGGAGTGGCCTTTAATTTGCCCTAACTAATGGAGTAGCAGCAACCAGCAGCTAGCTAGATTGTTCTGTGCTGTGCTGCTGTGGTTTGATCGATGGATGGATCTGTATAGGTTGGGTTGGTCATGGGGAGGGAAAAGGTAGATATTCCCGGTCAAAAAGATGGCCGTGGAAAGGGGCCGGGGTGGGGGGAATGAGATGAGCGGGCGACGGCGACGGATCTCCGGGAAAGAGAGATAGGCGACGAGGAGCGAGGGCTCCATCTCTCGTTTCTCTCCGTCGCGGATTGGTGGCGCGCGGGGCGAGGTGGGCCGAGGAGCTAAGCCCCGGCCCGCCCGGAATTCCACCGATCGAGAGAGAGAGAGAGAGAGAAGCCGCGCTAGTCAAAGGAAGCTCCCGTGACGGAGACGGGGCCGGATTCCCTGTCCCCCGCACGGGCCGTCGCGCGCCTGTGCATGGTCGGTCGGTCGATCGCTCGCCCGCGCGACGTCGACCGCGACCCGCGCGCTGCGGTATCGGAAAAATCTCCTGCTGCATGCTTTTCACTGCAATCATAGGAGGGAGGAAGGTAGATAGCCCAGCCCGGCCAGCGCCTATTCTTGCAGCTGATTGATCACCATGCAGCACAGTTCTTCTCTTCTTACGTATATACTACAGCCGTCCTAAAATATTACTACCTATAATAGCGCCGTGTTTAGATACAAAGTTTTTCTTCAAACTTTCAACTTTTTCATCACATCAAAACTTTTCTACACACACAAATTTCTAACTTTTCCGTCACATAGTTCCAATTTCAACTAAACTTCCAATTTCGGCGTGAACTAAACACTCCCTAGGTAATAAATTAAATAACAAATTAATCTGGACTCACTTTGTCCAAATTCTCGTATTAGAATTTATTACATGAGAACATTTTCGGAGGGGGAAAGTATCTCTCATGTCGTTGATGCTTCTCTTCCGGCTAGCTCCACAAGGTGGTGGGTTAGACGACCTGGGTTCGAAGCCTCTCCCCTTCTAATGATTTGATATTAGTTCCTTCCCTAATATTCACGTCTTTTGTTGATGCTTCTCTTGTTTGTCCCACGGATGCTTAATTTACCGAGTTATTTGCAGCTCCATTTCGATAAGTTTGGACTTAATTAACTTGTGATATATTCTATCATGGCAAAAGGAACACATTTTAGATTCTCCATGTCCTAAATCCTCTACCCCGCCATCCACAATCTGGCATGTGGCTCGCATCTGTGCATCAGACGGCTATACTTACAATGACATATAAATTTTATGAGTTTTTTTATTAAAAAATATACATCTAAAACAGTTTTAAAAGAAGACACCACGTTCATTGTAAAGGTTAGAAATTTCAACATTAACCAGAGAAAAAAAGTTTACGTAAGAATACAATTTTGAAATAACTGAAAATTAAAATAAAAAAAGAAATATCGAAATAATATTCAATATGTATAACACAATACAAGATTAGTTGCAATTTAATATAAAAAATATAACTTAGACATTACAAAAATATAAATAATAGTCCAAGTAGGAATACAACTTAGAAATAACTAAAATCCAGAATAAAAAAGAATATTAAAAGAAGAGACCATATGGAACACATCACAAGATTAATTAAAATTCGAAACAACAAATAAAATAAATTCTAAAATTAGAA